TGAGTTTTGTCCAACCACACCAGTTGAGTCCTTGCTCATCTGATTTGTATTTACATGGATGGTTCACGCTGCTACTGAACTAAAACACCAGAACAACCTCCAGCTGAGTAGTGGAGTTACTTCATTATGCTGCCATTGTGCTAGGAGAGCTTAACCTCATGTCTCTGTCCTCTCCACTCACACACAAACATGTATGCATGCCACCTGCTTGCCAGAATCATTTGCCATTGGATGGGTCTCGAGAGAGCTGGTGGAGGGGGTGAGGTCACCAGTACACTGCTGATGCCATCTGCCCACCCCTCTGTGTGTGGGCAGCCCATCCACCACCTACAACACCACACACACACACACACACACACACACACACACACACACACACACACACACACACACACACACACACACAGCTGACCTGACATGTCTGGATTTGACAGATTTCATTCCAATATCCATTTGAGGAAAACAAGTTCCCCGCTGTACATTTTGAAAAAAAATCTCATAACTCCCAACAGCAACAACTAAACCGTCTCTAATGGTTGCTTTAAAGTGGATAAACAGTATTATAGTTCTGCATTCCTAAAAAGGTTAATTCACACTATAAAAATGCTTTATTTTGCCCCATATCGATTTGTAGAATGTAAATGCAGTCTGGGATTCCTTATTCCCTTCCTAACTACACAACTAACCTCGAAATCTAGTTTAGATTTTACTTGTGCTGGTACAGGAAAAAAAAAGCGAAGATGCTGGAAACAAAATAAAACGTAGTGCAGAGAAGGTCAGCGGCCAGACGGCTCTTAATAGGCTTATGAGAAGAACATCACCTCAAAAAACCTTCAACACGCCCACTCTGAGACGCAGCAGGATCAAGGATCAGGCTGTCCTGCCCTCGCAGCAACAGGAGAGCAAATCTGGCTCCTCGCCCGGGCAGGGAAGCCCAACACTTGACACTTTAGCAGTTTCAACAGCAGAGTGGGTGCTGGGAGCAGCACAGGACCCCGATGATGTGGTTATTTGGTGGGGAGCCAAAAAGTCAGAGAGTTGCGACTGATGACTGAAGCATAATGATTTGTGTAAATGCAGTGGAATAGAAGGCTGTGAAAGGGGACACACATGAGCGGATTATAAGACAATAGGCCTCTGGGCACAAACATGCAAAAAGCCCTCCATAACAGCCACCACAACCTACACACCACCTGAAAAGGCCCGTTTGTGATCCCTTTGGGTCTCCTTTTTGTATTGTGGTAATTTTACAGCCTGTCACTGTATTCATCTTTTCCCCCTCTCTGTGGTCGTTGCATATGCGGAAAAGGTTTAGGCAAGTCACACCTCTTTGGCCTCGATTTGTGTAAGTTTCGCTCATTTTTGTTCATTTTGTGGCCTTTTTGCATAACATTGTGTCACTTTGTAGTCTTGTGTAGTCATTCACTTCAAACAGCTCAGGCTTAAGGGACCCAAGGGATCATCCTGTTCAGTAATCCTTCCATGGGGACACCAAGTGCAGCATGTACGCCTACAACATTTTTATTTTATTTTATTTTTTTTAAAAAGGTAGCCTTACCAATAAATTCAGGTCTTTCATATTAAAAAATGATTTTTTTTTTTACCTGAAGGAATGGCAACATCGCTGTAAACAGAAAAAGAAATCATTTAAGCCCCTACATGGATTTCATAAACTGATGCGCAGTTTCCCCCCTTCAGTCCTTGTTTACCAAAACCACCATCTATGACTCCGACCTTCATTAAGTCTCCTGGTGCTTCGGCTTGTCCCGAAAGCCAATAAAGGCACGCAATAGATTCTGTCCTGCCCTGCAGCAAAGCGTGACCAGACCACGCATAAAGGCTGAGGTCACCAATCACACCGAGCCGTCGCGTCCCGTTTTTAATTAAATCAAATTTGAGAAAAATAAACTAATAAATAAATCTGGGAGGTGATTTAGTCTGAAGAGAGACTGGAAGCACTTCAGGCCACTTTCCTCTAAAAGCGGAGCGGTCAATCAATGACAGGTGATACACACCCCTCATTAACATGCGGTACAGCCAGGCAATCCACATGGTGTTACTCAGACATGTGCTTGCAAAGCTCTTTTTTTTTTAACAAAAAAACAAAAAAACCAAAGAAAGAAACCCAAACAAACACGAGTTTCACTGAGCTTTTGGCACTAAACGCGCTAAGGTTTTAATGATGGTTAACGCAGAGAGTTGTATAAACCATCCCTGGAGCTACAGATGTCTGTGTCGCTCCACACGCGCGCAGAGGTAAGTCAGTCCACATTAGAAAACATTCTTACCTGCTTGAGGCTCCTCACAGCCTCAGCGTGCACAGCTCCCCTCCTTCTATCTCGACAGCGCTTATAATACCAGCCTGCCCCGCTTTCCTGTTTCCCTCTTGCTCCCTCTCTCTGTATTTCTCTCTGCTCACTCCGTCTCCAGCTGACTGGCACACATTTGCTTTTATTTCTCTGCTACACCCAATATATCGCTCAGTGAGCCTCCCCTTCCCCCTCTGTCAGTCAGTTTGCTCTCATCAGCCCTCTCTTCTTCTCTCTCTCTCTCTGCTGCCTTCAGGTGATCCTGGTAAACGCTAAACTCCACCGCTATTCGCAAAGACTCAAACGCTGAGCTACTAATTTGACGTGTCTATGAGGGGATTCACCCACCTGTACGCGCCCTAAGCCACTCTGATCAATAAATCTGAGGTCTGTGATCATTAATGTAGCCAGACTTTATTGTGTGTGTGTGTGTGTGTGTGTGTTTTTAAAGTGGTCTTGAGTATTAGTTCTCCAGGCTTTTCAAATATTTTTTCAAAGGTTTTCTTTTGACATTAATTGCTTTTTTCACTAATTTTCAGTCTAGTTCTTGTACTCGACCATTCTCAGAGGGATATTTTTGTTATTTGTTAAGACACTTAACACAGAACTATGAATCATGCCAGTGTAAAAAAGCTGGCATATATATATATATATATATATATATATATTATTGTTATATATATTATTGTTTATATATATTATGTGTTATATATATATATGTTATTATATATTGTTATATATATATATATGTGTATATATATATATATATTTGTATATATATAATATATATATTATGTATATATATATATGTGTTATATATATGTATATGTTTATATATTTATTTTTTTTTTTTTTTTTTTTTTTTTTTTTTTTTTTTTTTTTATATTATTTTTTTTTTTTTTTTATTGTGTTTTATATATATGTATATGTATATATATGTATATATATGTATTGTATATATATTTTTTTTTTTTTTTTTTTTTTTTTTATATATATTATATTTTTGTTTATATATATTTATATATTTGTATATGTTTGTGTATATTATATATTATTATATGTTTTTTTTTTTTTTTTTTTTTTTTTTTTTTTTTTTTTTTTTATATATATTTTTATTTATATTATATATATGTATATATTATATATTATATTATATTATATATTATGTTATTATATATATATATATATATATATGTATGTATATATATATATGTATGTATATATATATATATTATGTATATGTATGTATATATATTATATGTATATATATATATATATATGTATGTATATATATATTATATATATATATATGTATTATATTATTATTTATATTTTTATATTTATATATTTTTTTATTATATATATATATTTATATTATTATTATATATATATTATATTTATATATATTATATTTTATATTTTATATTATTTATATATTATATTATATATTTTATATATTATATATTATTATATTATTATTATATTATATATATTTTTTGTGTTTATATATATATTTATATATTATATTATATATATATATTATATATTTTTATTATTATATATATATATATTATGTGTGGTGTGTGTATATATATATGTTATATATATATATATATATTTTTATATTTTTTTATATATATTGTTTTTATATATATATTTATATATATTTATATATATTGTTATATATATATATATATTATTTATATATATATATTTTTTTTTTTTATTATTTTTTTTTTTTTTTTTATATTATTTTTTTTTTTTTTATTTTTTTTTTTTTTTTTTTTATATATATATGTTATATTATATTATGTTTTATTATATTATATGTTTATATATATTTATTATATATATGTGTATATATGTATATATATATATGTTATATTATATATGTGTATATGTATATATATATATATATATATATGTGTATATGTATATATATATTTTTTTTTCACCTCAGTCCAACAGGAAAAACAGACAAAATCAACAAACTCCCTTTTAAATGGTTTTTGTTTCAATTTTACACACCAACTTCTTTCTTGCTATTTACCACAAGTGGGTTTATTATTTCTGACAGCCCATGAAGGCAGCACTGTTTGCACACATGCTGTTAGCTGCATGCCCCTTTGGTTTGCCCCTCCATCCATAGCTATTCATCCCCTCCCTCTGTGCCTCCGTCTCTCACTGAGCAGTACAGACTACACACTTTGGCTGACTCTGGCAGATGCCTTGCGGGGAATCAGTATTATGAAAACAGGGATTGTGAATCATCACAAACACACTGGTCACAGCTCTCTGTTCGTACCTCCCCATTGTGCTTTCTCTGTTCTCCACTCTTTCTGCCCACTTGTTTTCCCCTCTCTTTCACTTTTCTTTTGTCCCAGTGCTCATGTGGCCGGCCTAGTTGTTGCAAGCTCATAGACCTTGATGTGTTCAGACACTCATGACAGTGGGGCAGAAGACGAGCAGAGTTATCACAGTTGCTCTGTCATCACTCTCAAAACTGTCTCTTTGATTAAAGAGATGACAAAGCGTTTCATCCTGGTTCACTGGGCCAGATACAGTAGCTGGGAAACGGAGTTCTGTTGGAGATGAGGGAGCGGATAACACCAGCGGGATCCTCCTGTGATATAATTGCCAGAGAAAAGCATACTGTGCATCCAGAATGGAGCGAGTACTGAAAACACACACTGATGATAATGGCAGTTTTATTACATAACTTTCTCACAATTTACAAAAAGAAATACAAACTTTTAATTATTAATATAATATAAGTTTTTACTGAGTTTCTTAAAAATCATTGAACAAGTTTCTTATCAGTTATATTAAATCATGTTTATAATAGTGCTTTTTTATTTATTTATTTTTTTACACAAATAGCTACCATGAATTTAAAGCCGGTTAGTTTTTGACTTTCTCTGATTTGTTGAGTTTGTTGAAACGGTGCCGCTGTTTTACAGAAGAAAGTGAGGGTTTTAGTCCTGAAACAAGGTCCAGTCTAGTCTCAGAATCGGTAATGTGTTACGGGTCCTCCTGGAAGATCAAAATGATTATTTTAAATGGAGAAATTACATTTCAAGTACCCAAATTTTTAATCACAATTTTTAATCACAGAAACAACAGCAACAAAAAAAAAACAACCCGTAATGTCTGTCATTTAGACTGCAGCTTTTTACTTGAAGCATAAACATACAGCTCACTAAAGCCCGTTTACCATTAGTACCTACTCGGATCAAGTTTACTTGGATCGACTGGTTTTCCATTACAGTATTATAGCTCCCACTAAGTACTAAAGGTGATGCAGTGTCCTGGGTTTGTGTGCTATCCTGTCTAATCTCTCTCAACTGTCCCATCAAATAAAAGCTAAAATGCCCACATTCACCCTTTGTGCATCCTGTGCTCACCGTGTATGCAGGGTTTTGGAAAGATGCAGAACTCTCATCTCCATTTGGCTGAAACATATGCAAAGGATTTTTTTTTTAAAAGCAGGCCCATGTGTATGCAGATGATTGCAGATTCAGATCCCGTCATTATTTGCTTTCAGCTTCTAATGCTTGAATACTATTCTGACATCTGTCTTTGTGGATACCTGCGTGCTCGAAACAGCTGGTACGCCAGAGCCATATGCTGGGATCCCAAAATCCTCCTAAAAAATGCAAGAAGTAGAAGAAGTTTAGAGATTTAAATAAACAAATAAATGATCACCACATAATAAAACAAATAAGACTATCAGAGCGAGATTTGAAAGCAATTTTTGTAAGGGTTCAATGTGTTACGACTCGCTCAAATGAAACTAATCTGCGAAGATTTGTGATGAATGTGATGGCAACCTCGATGGAAACCTCAGGCTTGGAATCACTTCCTATGCGTTCAATCACAGCTTGAGCCTCTTTCCCATATAAGGGATTCTCAACAAACTCCTGAGGGAGGAAAAAAATAGGGTCATGAGACAGAGCTCATCAAAATATAAAACCCACCAGATCACAGAGCAGTGTTTTAATACAAGAATATGATGCTGAGGAAAGGTACTTTACTTTTTTCATGCAGTTACGTAACACAATAAACAGCACATACAAGATTTGCACTACGTTTATATTAAAGCCTTGAAATGTAATTTATACACAAAGTCTGAGCACAAGAGCATAATTCATAGGGGAATTGTTAGACGCAGACATGAAATAAAAAGGAATAGAGAGGAATCAAAGTCCACAGGAGAGCAGTGTTGTTGTTTACTCACCTCATTTGTTGCCATAGGAGCGGAGGTGGCTTTAGGCAAGTTGTTGGAGGGTAGCGGTTCTCCACCTTCATACGCTGGGTTCTCAAAATTCTTCCCTGATGTCTCCACCGTGAATACGGACGTACAGGGGACCTGACATCACACAGCACACATTAGCGTTATGGATCACCATAGACAGGATAAGAAAGTATAATCTGTATTAAATCTCACAAAGCATTTTTAAACAGTTAACGAATATATTTTGTTTTGCTACTGACCGCCTCTCCATTCTGCAGGCCTTCATTGTCTTCTCTTTTCATGCCATTTTGGGTTGAACCATTCCTGCAAAGTATTATTATTTGGATGTAAATATCATACTAGCATATTCTGATAATGCTCTGTCAACAACCTTTAAATACAATGAATGGATCTGCTTTTATATTCATTTTTATTCAGAGTGCTATTGAATATTGAATAAAAATGTTAAAATATATCAAAATGAAATATGAATTCTTATTCTTATTATTTTAATATTTGTAATAAAATTTTGTAAAAAAAAAGTGCGTATTTATCATTGTTGTGATTTTACTGTTTATTTACTTTCCCATTTGATTTTAAGTTTACTTATGAATTTCTTCATTATTAAATCTCATTGTTAGACCATCACGCAGTGTAAGGTTTGTGGAACTGGTGCTCAAAATTAACAGTACCGGTAATTACCAAATATTTTTTTTAATGTTTTTGTAACAGTTAATCCAACAGTATGCACAAGTTCTGATTAAAATGATACTAAAATAGGTTTTGTTTTTATCTGTGAATTTTCAATTGTATTGTTTCTCCCCACCAAAAAGCAGAAAAAAATTATAAACCATATTATTATTTTTGTCAGATTAGAGGGTTTTTTTTTACTTTCATTCCTGAACACAAAACCAGTTTTAGTGTTTGAATGTTACACTTCATTAATTTCTGACTTTTCCGATCTTACCTGAAGTTTGGAAAATTAGCCATTGATGGCATACTGGGCATTTTGGGCATGCTTGGCAAGTTGTTCCGCAAACTCTCGGCCAGATTCGACTTCTTCTTGGCAGCATAGACCAGAGCAACCAGCAGAGCCACAACCGCCACCGTTACCCCGATGGCTATTCCAACTGCCAGGGAGGGACAGAGGCAGGCAAGCAGGCAAGAAGTGACGTATGAAGAAGCTCGTTAGAATTAGAAGGACATTTTTATTTTGTTATTATCTTATTTTTCTTTAATTAAAATCGAACATACCTGATGATGCAATCACATGGAACACGCTTATCTCGCAGAAATCTCCTTTCCATTCTGAAGGACATCTGTACAAAAAGCAAACCACTAACATAACAGTTCCAACACTGCCAATGGTTTAACTTTATCTCACTGACATTACATTAACACCAGCATTAACACAGCAATTTAATCCAATGTTTTATTTTGACAGCTGGCAGGGAAAAAAAAAAGGAAAGACAATCTTACATGCAGAGAGCCTTGTTGTCATCAAAGTAGCAGGTGCCTCCGTTTTGACACTGGCAGGGAGGCGGCATGGTGGGTGGTGGATCAAACCCTGAACAATCATAACATTGAGAGGTTTTTACTGTGCTATGGCAGGAAAACAATCATTACTGAGACATCAGTACTGATGATACGGTGTAGCTTAATTTAGTCACTTTATTTAGTTATTTATGTAACACTAATTCAAAAAACAGGCCCTTCAAGGTGCTTTATATTGTAAGGTAAAGACTACAATATTAGAAAGAAGCCCCAAGCCACAATCCCTTCTAAGCAAACACTTGGTGACAGTGGGAAGAAACTACAAGCAGAACCAGGCAGAACAGTGGCCTTTATCCTTTCTCCCATTTACTGTTGGTCTCTCACACCTGCTCAAAATTTCAGTTCATGTAACACTAATATAAAAATTCAATTCAAATCAAATTTATTTATACAGTGCTGAATCACAACAACACTCACATCAAGGCTCTTTATATTGTAAGGTGGACTCTACAATAATACATACAAAGAAAACCCAACAAGGATACGACCTCCTATGAGCAAGCACTTTGGCAACGGTGGGAAGGAAAAACTCCCTTTTAACAGGAAGTGAGAAGGAAGACAGGATAAAAGACATGCTGTGGAAGGACGTGTTACAGTAATGTCACAAAATAAAAGTCTGAATACATTTACAGTAAAAATGTCACATCAATATGGTGAAATAATATTATCCTCACTATTAGCTACCAGCTGATGTGAACCCCAGCAGAAATTGGCTGATCTGCTGCGAATGAGGTTGAGCTCGACAGCCTGCCTGAGTTAACACTGCCCTTGATTTTATGACAGTACACATGTTTACTAAATCTATTTAATCTATTCTATTTAGTCCCACCAGCTTCACTGAACTCTGTGTTAATTTGATGCTGTGTAGATAACAGTGAAAGTGATAAAAGGTTGTCAATATTGCTGCAGGAAAGATCACAGAATAAAAAAAACAAACAACTGATGATGAATTGATGCATTAATACTTCTAATCCTTTTCTACTTAATTTGAGCAGTCTAAGAACTCAGTCATCCAATCACACAAGTTCTTTTTCCTATGCCTAAGAACTTTTAACTCAGGACTCAGTGCCTTGCCCTATGATACTTCGACAAAAAAAGGCAGGAGTCTTACCGCCAACCTTCCGACTGACAGATGATCTGTCTCTTGAGCTGCTGGCACTCCCAGCTAAGACATGATGCCTACTATTTTATTAAAAAGGACAGAGGAAATTTAAAAAAAACTCCTCTTCTCACCTGCATCACATTCAGTTTTACTGCCTGGGATGAAGCTGGTGCCCTCGGGGCAGGCACAGCTGTACCCCCCCGGTCGGAGCAAACACAGGTGGCTGCAGGTTCCCTTGCATGGATTCTTCACTGCAAAAACAAATAAATAACATATATTTCATGTTTCATCATCATCACCATCATTGTCCAGGCAATCTCCTCTCTTTACAGTTGTGGCTAATAGAATAATAATGTGTTCCTCTGTTATTCATGGTTGCCTTCTTCCACTTTCCTGCACATTACTGCTAATGCTGAACACACAAAAAAACATAAAAGAGCTCTTCTGGGTCAAAGCACTCAATGTTCACGACGTTTAATGGACTATTAACGTAATATCACACAGAAATAAAATGGATACAAATGAAGAGGCTTTGCACACTGTAAACAAACAAACCCTGCATGCACAATTTGTGGACATGTGAGAGAGTGTGCAGCTTACTGGCTATGGTGTTGTATCTCTGCTGCTGGTACACAGAGACCTGGGTGAGCCAGGGTCCAGCAGTCAGCAGCTTGATCTTGTCACCCTGGCCAAACTTGTCCTGTCGAAACACCTCGCCCTTTTCCTGAGTGCTCCAGTAAACATGGTCTTCGAATACACTCACACTGAAGGGGTTCCTTACATCTGGGAGAGATGCAGAAATGTTTGAATAGTTTTACTCAGCTCCAGTAACAGCAACCGTTTGGAATATGAACGATGGATTAGGAAATTAGGATCACCTATGTACACGGCCGTTTTACGCTGCTCTCCTGATGGCAGAATAGACTCTATGCGGCTCTCCTTGGAGTCTGACCAGTAGATTCTGTCATTGTTGGTGAAGTCGACTGACAAGCCAGTGGGCCACCCAAGACCATCAGACACAAGAACTTTTCTCTCCTGACCATCAAGCCAGGAACACTCAATTTTGGCTGTGGTCCCACGATCTGCCCAGTACAGCATTCTGCAGCAACATGACGGACATGAAATAACGGCTCATTAAGACCGTTTCATTGAGATTTCCCAGGACAGCTACAAATTCTGAAACTACAAGTATTTTGAAAATCTTGGCCAACACTGATACTGATGCAGGGTTTCTAACCAGTCCCCCTATGCTAAGTTGACCCTCCACCTCGGCATGTTCAGCTGATATCTCTGCTTATGTCCACAAATACAAAATCACAGTCATCTTGGCAAACACAGAAGTCCTGTGATGTTTCATATTTGTACAGTCTTCATATGTTGCTCTTGAAGGTATATCATTGAATCGCTAATAACATCTAATATGGGCCAGTGCAAACTGGGTTCTGGCATAAAAGATACTGTCGTTATTTAGCGTGTAAGAGGTGAGAACTCTGTGATTTTATGTGACTCTGTTGTATATGCACTGACTCATGTGTGTTTCTGGGAGCTCCTCTCTTATGTTTTTGTGCTTGATATATAAATTAACAGACTGTGTGCCTGTGTTTAGAAAATCTAAACACAGGTGCAATCTTACCCCAGTCGTGGGTTCACAGCCACAGCAGATGGGTGACCCAGGTCAGTCTTGACAAGGTGCTTCCTGTAGCGTCCATCCAAGAAGGCCACTTCTAACCTCTGCAGCTTGGAGTCTGCCCAGTAAAGGTTTCTTAAAAAAGGAACAAAATTATCAGAGAGCTGAAAAACATTCTGGTGCTTTATGGGCAAACCCCCTAAAACTTTAATGTAAATAAAATATATTTTAATAAATTTGGATTAGGATTAAGGCATTAGAGCACTGAACTACTGTAATCAGGTAAACTCACCTGGCGACCCAATCCACAGCGATGCCGTCTGGGCTGGTGATGTATTTGACGCCGAGATCAACAGCAGCACCGATGTTATTACTGCCATCGTCCACTGATGGTATGTATGCTCTCTTTATGGCGCCTGGCATAGCGTCTTTACCAGCAACAGTGAAATACACCATACCTGACAAAACACATTTGTTGTTGGTGTAATTTGTGTGCACCCAGGTGTACTATGTGGTTTTTATAGTAGGTAGTCTTAATTATGGTCAAACTATCGATACCAATGCTAATACTGACCTGAATACCAACACAAGTTGTCTTTATAGGTCAAAAGTATTGATATCATCAATACTGGCACTTTATTTACTTGGTATCAGATCGATAGTATCACACAGCACTGATGTTAATCAATGGATATCTTACTGAATCCTGTGTTGTTGTGGTCCCAGTCGTAGTCCAGAGCCATGATGTGCTCCTGTTCTTCGATGAAGTCATGGTAGCCCTCTGTCTGCAGGTTGAACCTCCGGATACGAATGTTCTCCGGTAGAAGCAGCATGGGAGCTGCTCCTGTTGGACACACACATACATGTTTACATGTTTTTGTCACTGAAAAATATAAAAACCAATCAAAAGTGTATTCTTATTGTTTAAAGACATTTCATTAAGGTGCACAGGCTGGTCTCTGAGGTCTTTAAGAGTTTCTAAGAGTCTCTCCACCAATAAAATAATCAGTATGGCCTGCATCTACTTGTCTTTTTATAAAATATACATTGTAAAATATATGAAATGTATAAATGATGTAGGTAGTTTTTAACAGCAATAGAAACAACAGTTATTACTTACAACAGCATTCTTGCTGTTTCAAATCTAGCAAGAGAAAAGGCATGCCTGCTAACTAGACCCACCATTAAATCATTGATGAATCTGTTTTTCACACTTAGATGAGAAAGAAGACTGTAATGAGGCCAAAAATATATTTCAGTAGCTGTGAAGTCTTCTCAGCTCCAAAGAAAACCCAGCGGTTTCTTACCCACAGCCTCGCACATTTTGCCATTGCCCACTTTCCTGTAGCCGGGGGCACACTCACAGTCGTAGCTGCCTTTGGTGTTCTTACAGACCTGAGGACAGGTGCTGTACACCTCGCACTCATTGATGTCTGAAAAAAATCACCAGCCAGGATCAGAAGGAGTGTGAGTTTTACCCAACAGATATTTAACTAGACATGTATATTTATCATAAACATGTATGTATGAGTGTGTGTACCCAGGCAGGTGTAGGTGCTGTCTGGGTCCACTGTGTATCCGGGCCTGCAGGAGCAGATGAAGCCTGTGCCATCGAGGTTTGTGCACTCATGCTGGCACAGATTCTCGTCACAGTTGCGATCAAGGCCAAAATCTGGAGGACAGACAACGTGCAAAAAACAGCTTTTGAGCCACACGCAAGAGCTACTTATAGGCTTAGTTTACACAGGCAGATTAATTCAGATATAACCCAGTAATCTGGTTAAATGTATTCACCATCACTGAACATATGTGTAAGCACCTCGATAGAAGCAGATGTTTTTACAGTTTACTGGCTGGGAGCACTGCTAGGAAGAAAGACATCAGCTCAGAGTAGGAACTGCTGCTGCCCGTCAATATAAAAAAAGCACTAAAAGAGCTAAACAGTTGCCAGTGTTTTAAAAGGGTGACATCCTAGGAAATTCACCCCAAGGTCAGACTTTGCAGTGCTCAGAGAAACTACAAAAGAACCCAAGAGGTTCCTCTCAGACTTTCCAGGCCTCAGTTAACACGTTAAATGTTAAAGTTCATGACAGCACAATTAGAAACAGACTGAACAAGTATGTCTTCTATGGAAGTGCCCGAAAAACAGTCTCCTCTACAAAAAGGACATTGCAAGTTTGCAAAGTTACAACTGAATAAACTACAAAATTTCAGGAACAATGTCCTTTTGACATACAAGATGTTTTTCCATGGACAAACAAACACAGCATATCAGCTGTTAAACACGGTGGTGGAGAGGTCATGATCTGGGCTCATTTTGCAGCCACACAACCTGGGCATGTTGCAGTCATTGAGCCACAAACTCCTCTGTCTGACAGATAAAGCTTGGCTGAAATTGGGTTGTGTAACAGGACAATGATATGAAGCAAATCTACAACAGAATGGCTGAAAAAGAAAAGACTCCAAAGTCCAGCCAGTTTGACATCCTGTGGTGGGACCTTAAGATAGCTGTGCATCAACAAATGCCCACAAACCTCAATGAAGGGAAGCAATGTTGTAACGAAGAGTGGGACAAAATTCCACAGTGGCGTGAAAGACTAATAAACTCATACAGAAAATGATTACTATTGCTGATAAAAGTGGGTCTAAAAGCTGTTAAATGATGGCCTTTAGTTCTTACTGCTTCTTTAGCTTAACCTTTGCTAAATAAATAATGAGACCATGTCATGTTGATGTTCATGTCTGGTTATGTTTAAGTTATTTTAGGACCCAGTAAAGACCAGATGATTTTTATTATGTCCTGGGTGGCAAATTTCATTAGAATATTGAAGTAATTATCTATATTTGTGCTGTGCAAAAATCTCATTAATTTGACAACAGTTATAATACTGTTATCCTATAATTCTCTCTGATTATGAGAATATATCTCCTCTTTCTGTAGAAGAGCACATAATCTCAATTATGTAATATTTTACATAGATCCATGCCATATTTCCTACTGATTGCACAATACATTTGTTTTTGTTTTGGTCAATATAATGCTTGGATTCGTTTTTCTGCCTGAACCAAAACACCGTAAATCTTTTATTAAAGCTCCGTGAAAACACCATCATCACTCGTCCTAAAGGATTCATGCTGTTTTTTCCCAGGAACATTTAATTCCAGCCATTGAGTTAAAGTGAAAAGACGATGCTGTCCTCCTGCCAGGAAGCTGAAGAAGTCTTTTGTTGTGGCACTTACTGCAGCCCATTTCGTCTGTGCGGTCTCCACAGTTGTCATTGTGGTCACACACGTATTGCAGGGGCACGCAGTGTCCGTTGGTGCATTTAAACTCCTCCAGTGTGCAGGGGGCCAGTGTGGGCTCGCGGCCTGTGAAGGACACAGTCGAGATGAATCATCAGCACAAGTATTCAGAAATGGTTGAGTGGGTATACAGCCCACCTCTGAAAGCGTCACCTCCACTTATCTAAGATTAAATTCAGAGCTTTTTCTAGAAGCTCTTTACTTCTAAATTTTCAAACACAACTCCTCCCACTAGATTAAAGCGTAAACATGCTTTCGTGATGCACATATACGCCTTTCACTCATGCTTGTGTATCACAGAATTGCACATCTTTACTGTCTCCTGCCAACAAACAAGTGGATTTAGATGAGCAAGCCAATGTCCACCTCTGCTCTGAACCAAACTATTTAATCTCCTCTCAAAATAATTTGCTCTGATTGATGTTTAAGCTGATTGTGTAACAATTCCATACAACAGACTTATTCCTTATCCTTGTTATGTTTCAGCTTTGTGTCCTGTGCAGGCACTGATGTCATTTTGGGATTTCCCATTTGACTGGCTTTAAAGAGGAAAGTTCAGGATTAGCATTGTTGTTTGGACTAATGCCTGACAATCCCATGATAAGAGGTGCATTTGCTGAAACTAATATGCAATCTGATTATGTTCACATACAAAAAGGAATGATATATATATCTATATCTATATCTATATATCTATATCTCTATATCTCTCTCTCTTTTTTCTATATATATATATATATATATATATATATATATATATATATATTAGGGGTGCAACGATATTCGTATCGATATTGAACCGTTCGATACAGTGCTTTCGGTTCGGTACGCATATGTATCGAACAATACAATTTTTTTCAAATTTTTTTTTTTCAATTTTTTTTTTTTTTTTTTTGTGTCCCGTTTGGATCTATAGCCATCAGAATTGTTGTCTTGAGGCCAAGAAAGATGCCAAGAGGATTTATTTTAAGTGGATCATCATATTGGTCCATTTGATTGACCTTTATTATAATTATGAATTTATTTTATTTTCAGTTGCAAACGGGACAGACATGACTGTGGGATAGGACAGGGGGAAAGAATGAAAGAAAGAGGGGGAGAGAAAGAAAGAAAACCAAAGGGGAGAAAAAAAAAGAACAATACAAAATTTGTAATTTATTTTATCAACTTTCCTTCTGACGATGCTGTCTGTGTTGAGCGCTCAGTGAATCTGCATTTGACTACTCCGCCTAGGCTCGAGAGTGCAGCCTAGGCGGAGTAGTCGAACGCAGATTCACTGAGCGCTCAACACAGACAGCATGGTCAGAAGGAAGAGCGCAGGGCAAGCTAGCGAGATAGAAGTGGACCTCCCCACCCTCATTCAGATCTGGCGTTTGGAATTATTTTGGTTTTCATGTGACGTATGACCCTGAAGGTAAGCGAGTCATGGACTAAAGTAAAACAGTATGTTGGATGTGCTATGCAATGCTCAATTACATGGGTGGGAGCTAGTGTGTTAGCGCAGTTAGCTCGTTAACGTGTTGGCCGTCTAGCCCCTCTGTATAGGGTAGCTCGTTAACGGAGATTTGCCGTGTTGTGGCGTTAAGGTTATTTCAACGAGATTAACCTGAAAGCACTAGTGGGAACACAACGAATATGACTGCACATTTACACCGACATCATCCTAGTGCAAAGACAAAAACAACAAGCATGCATGCTACAAACTTTAGCCGAGTCATTTAGACAGCTGTTAGCACAGGATTCTCCTTATGGAGACCTGATATGTTTAATATGCTGCTGAGAATATAGCCCAGAAGAAGCGGATAGTATAGCTTTTATTTTGGAAAGAGACATTTCTCTGTAATAAACTCTCTTTTCCAAAGATGAGTGATTCCTCAATCAGATACAGGGCTCGCAATATCGCTAGCCCGACGTCCCGGGGCTATCTCTCCCCTGCCTGTCGGGCTATTGTAGGAAGGAAAAATATATGTCAATGCTTTTGCATTCTTTCAGAAATGTAGCTGGGTAATTATGTCATTGGGTGAGCCACTGTCAATATGTGACATATTGAAATCGTGTTTGAATTTGCGCTTGTTTTTTTGCTTTCACTTTGCAATCGCGCGAACTGTGTATAGAGAGCGACAGCACTGATCTGTGAGTGATGATAATTTGTGCACCAATTCCTCTGACATCGTCTTATTAATTGTTAGCTTACTATGCAAACATGACAAGTGAAATCTCCCGCAGCTTAAACATGTGAGAGGTTGATCGCGCAGAGAATCGCTGAGCTTATGTGAGTGCGGCAGGATATATATTTCACTACGATGACCTGGATGATTGAGAACCTTCACAGACAGATATATATTTTAGTTCTGCTGAGCCAAATAAGACAGGTCAGGGTGAAGACGTGACAGCCAAAGAAAAGCTTACCACAAAACGGAGAAGTTATGACAAATCAGACTATAAGGCAAAAAGAAAGTGCAGCTTTATGGTTTCATGGACAAAAGAATTTCTGTGGCTGCAATATGACGAGCTAAAAAACAACACGCACAAGGGTTAGGGTTAAATTTAAAAACTGTACTTTTGTGTTAAAATATATATTTATAATTTTAATAAATGACAAATTAAAAAGGCATGAACATTTTTTTTTGTATCGAAAAAATATCGAACTGTGACACCAAAGTATCGAACCGAACCGAACCGTGAATTTTGTGTATCGTTGCACCCCTAATATATATATATCTATATATCTATATATAGATATATATATAGTACATATATAGTATTTCCCCCCTTTCTGATTTATTTTGTTGTTATTTTGTTGTTTTTTCTGCATATTTGTCACACTTACATGTTTCAGATCACAAAAAAATGTTAACACTACACAATAAATACAAAATGCTATTTTCAAATGATGGTTAAGGGAAAAAAAATGACCTTCTGTCCCTTCTTTTAAACCTAATAAGTGATTATTCCCTTGGCAGTGAGAGATAAATTCTGATAAGCGGCAATATGTTTTTCAAGTTGCTTCTTTAGATTTAAGTCTGGACTTTGACTGGGTCACTCCAAAACGTTATTCTTTTGTTGTTGTTTGTTCTTTATGCTGGAGTGTTTACATAACCCCAGTACTCTTGAGTTTCAGTTCAATTCAGTTTTATTTATATTGTGCCAAATCACAATAATAGTTGTCTGAAGATGCTTCATATTGCACGCTAAAGACCCTAAAATAACACAAAGAAAACAGAGAAAACCCCAACAATCATGTGACCCTATGAGCAAGCACTGTGGTACAGTGGGACGGAAAAACTCCCTTTTAACAAGAAGAAACCTCCAGCTGAACCAGGCTCAGGAAGAGGCAACCATCTGCCATAATCAGCTGGGGTTGGGGAGGAAGACAGGAAAAGGGCCAGGATAGTATAAACTGCATTCTCTACTTCCTCTGGCTGGTCTAACGTTAAAATGAATTTGATTGTCTGTAAGATGTAAATGTGAAAAATATGCAAAAACACAAAACTGAGAAGGGGACATATACTTTTTCAGGGCACCATATATTTACACAGTACACTAAACATAGTTTATGCAGAGGGCAACTACAAAACATCAATGTTTATCCCTCTATATTGCCAAATGTTCAGCTGTCCTTTTCCATTACTCTACGTCCAATTACGTCCAATAACTGATCAGATTTGTGCATTTAAATGTAAATTTTTAGTCATGCTAAAATATGCAGATTGCAGGAATGTGTGAGTGGGAGTCATACAGAGGTCTTCTTTCTCATCACTGCCGTCTCCACAGTCGTCCTTCTTATTACACAGCACTCCAGCATAGACACAGTAGCCGTTGTCACAGCGGAACCGAGATGGCATCTCACAGGTGATGTTCACTGGTTAAACACAAGCAAATGCGACTTGAGCCCAATGTCTATATCTATGTGTGTGTGTGTGACTTTCATTTAAAAGAAAGTCACATATATATACACACTCACACATCTATCTACCTATCTATATAGATATACATAAAAATAAATAACAAGCTTCTCACAGCATAAGTTGAGTTGCTCATCAGATCTGTCCCCACAGTCATCAATGCCATCACACACCCAGCCTTGGTTCACACAGATGTGGTTCGCACACTGGAACTGGTGCTCAGGGCAGTAACGGCCTCCAGGGTATCGAGTAGCTGGAAAGATCGGGAAAATAAGAGAGATAGTTTGCACATTATTACTAAAATCAGTTGATTTATTTTCCTTTCTTTACCAAGGTCGTGTTTTAAACTGTCTTTCTTAAAGAGATATATCAGTGGAGAAATAAAACCAACCAGCACTGCACACCATTCTGGTCACTGTTTCTCTTAAAGCTGCCCCTTTTCAAAGTTGGTCCACTTCTTTTAACTTTCTTTTTAATGCCACAGTTATTTGAATTATCGCTGGTAACTTTTCTCTGATTTGTGCCGTCTTTGGACATGCTGGTGGGTAGATTTTTCTATTTTCTACAAATATGTTATTACCACTTTCCTTCCACAGCCCTGCTGCTGTTGCTGCTGCTGCTGCATGGCAACCAGAAAAACAAAAACTGACATGTTCCCAGAAATCAAAGGACGACATGCAGAGAAAGCATAGGGGAACCAAGTGATGAGGCAAAAACAGATGGGTCCAAGCGGCAGAGAGTTTTCTTCAATCATCACAGACAATCTGAGATTGCTGGATGCGAGAAGAGCTGAGGGGACTTTTTTTTCTTTCAGTGTATGGTTACATATTTTACAGAGACAAGGATACAGCAATTACTCTGAATTCCCACTGTTACCATTTCAGAGGCGCTTTGGGCAAACAGGAATAAATCCAAGTGTGGAAAGTGAAGACACAGATGGCTTGCAGCTTTCATCAACAGCAAATGAAGCCACCCTGGTTACATTACCTTGGAGGAACATATCAACAGACATATCTCTGACTTTAAACTGTTAGCTGAAAGAATACCTTAACGCTCCACCCAAAAGGGTGTTCTGATGGATGGAATGCTTGTATAATTGTCCAACTTTCATATATTCAAATAGCAGTTACAATTTATCTAAGGTATTCTGGATTTAATCTTAATATCTGGGAAAATTGGCAATTACAAGATGCACATAACAAAGACTGGTTTTCAGTCTACAATCAATTTGGAAGCATGTTATGGCTTTATTGGATAATAGTTAACAAAATGACTGGAGAGAAAAGGAAAGAATGCAGGGAAATGACTGCAGTTGATGGTTTGATCTCACTTCCTGGATGACCAGAGCCCTACAGGTGCAAAGTTCAACCACACCAAATTATTCAATGTGTGTTCAAATGTGAAAAAAGGATAAATCTTGTATAGCTACTCTGTGGTTTAATTACTGGGGTAAACTAATATGCAGTTTTAAACCATCTTATTGTGTTTCTCACCTCATTTAAGCTTTAAGCAAAAACTGTATCCCTGTCTGCTGTTAGACTGTTGTGCCACATTTTCATTCTTTTGAAGCCTTAAAGCCTGAATAATTACCTCACACACATATAAACAGAAAAAAATAAATAAATAAAACTGCGGGGGCCCAGAGTGCCATTAATTTTCACGCTGTAAACTTACGACAGCTGGTCTCATCTGACAGATCCAGACAGTCGGGTCGGTTGTCGCACTGCAGAATAGCGGGGATACAGTGACCCGAGTCACATTGGAAAGAACCTGGACGACATGTCTGCAACTCTGGAAGAGAGCCAAGATGTTATGTTGATGTGTGTGTTTGCGCCCGTGTGTGTTTTGTTTACGGCTGGATGTAATTTTAAGGAGGCCGAGGAGTTAGCATGAGGAGGAGGCGTCTGCTCACCGCAGTCTCGCTCGTCCGAGTTGTCCCCACAGTCGTTGACATGGTTACACGTCCAGCTTCCGGGAATGCACTGCTCGTTGTCACATCGAAACTCACTTTCAGAGCACGGCCTTGGCTCTAGAGAGACACACACACACACGTGTTCAATATGAGATGTGTGGCCGCTGTGATATGAGGCTTCAAACTACATGAGTAAAAAGCAGTCAGAAGAAACATTTTTAATAAGAAGACATTTTTTGAAACAGATTGAACTGAAAAACTTACGGCAGTTTCTCTCGTCTGAGCTGTCGCCACAGTCATTAGAGCCATCGCACTGCCAGCGGATGGGAATGCAGCGGTGATTGTCACAACGGAAATCTCCCAGAGGGTCACAGGTCACTTCCTCTGTTATAAAGCAGCAGCACAAAAGGTGTTTGAACATGTGGTCATGAGAACATTTTGGGAAATAAGATTTTTAACCTGCTGAAACCAAAGACTTAAAGGTAAAGTGTGTCAATTTTTAGGTTACTTAATAGAATAAAAGAAGGTTGTACTCATAAATATAAATTGATCAGTGTGTTATTACAGCTTCCAACAGATTGATGCATTTTCATAAACTTAGAATTAATCCATTAAAAATACATAGAAGTCGGCGCCAGTTTGTGGAAGCCCCACAATCTTGCAAATAGTGGCCAAGATGTCATCGCGGTCAGGGCTCTGAGACATGGAAATATAAATAAAAGGACGCTTATTTATTCCTGACATTGTCAGTAGACTGCAATCTGCATTCTACTGACATCTGGTGGTGATATCTTATACACTGTAGCTTTAACTTCATGGGTTTTTAGCCTTTTTAACACAGCTTGATACATTTTCACTAATAAATACTAATTGTGTGTGACCACCTTCTTACAGTGTAATTTCTGTCTATATAGGATGATGCATCTTTGCTATTTGTTTTTACTGTTCTGCATTACACCCATTATTATTTAATCTTTGGAACCGGAGCTTTAAAGTCGTCTACAGCCAAGGCTGAAACGAATAAATATGTTATTTAATGATTGAGTGGTGCAAATGATCTGTAAAGGTATTCAGATTTCTTTTTCTGGATTAGAAACTACAAGCATTGCAGAGCTTGAACTTTTAAAGTACACCACAATATCATCAGATCTTTAGGAACTAATTTAAGATTTTGACACATGTGCAGTATGCAGCTGGTCTGACAGCCCCGACACGTCTGCTGACACATGAGCACTGACCGCAGCCTTCCTCGTCGCTGTTGTCGATGCAGTCGTTTGAGCCGTCGCAGCGGGCCCACTGAGGAATACAGCGGTAGTTTGTCTTGCAGGAGAACTCTGTATCCTCATCGCACTTGTAGTCTGGACCCACTGTGGAGACAAGGCGACAGAGACATCAGGCAAAGGATGGAAGGAAAGTGGTGAGATTAGTAGTAAGATCGAAAATAAAGTCTGCAAGGTGACAAGAGGGTGAGAAATAATGAGGGAGGATGAGTTGAGACAGAGCCAGACAGACAGTAATTAGAAGCAGACGGAAGAGGGGGAAGGAGGGATTGACTGTGCAACTTAAATTTAGAAAAATCAACACTACGTGCAGCTTCATTAATTCACCCAGGTTACACCTGCGCTGTGTCTGAATCGATTGTATATCTCTGAAACAGATAAGTCGTTGCTTGATTAAACAGTCGTGCGGTTCTGCAAAGTGCACGGCTATTATCAATTAAGCTGCTCCTTTTGTGCTCATCACAGACAGACATGGGGGAAAGAAAAGGAAATCATGGTTGGCACATATTTAATTCGCGTGACAGTAACACTCACTGCAGACTTCATACGGCTCATCAGATCCATCACCACAGTCGTCCTGGGCATCGCACACATACATTGACGGCACACAGCGGCCGTTTGCACACGTGAACTCTCCCGGTTTGCAGGTCTTCTGGGAGCAAGTCTCCGCATCTTCATCGCTGCCATCTGTACAGTCAACTATTCCATCGCAGTGCCAGGACACAGGAATGCACCTTTTGTTTTTACACTGGAACTGGTTTCCAGCGCAGCGGTGATCGCCTGTGAGGACAGGAAACAGGTTTAACATTGAACCCTCTTCCTGAAAACAGGCTTTCATTTTCAGCAGAAAGAAAGAAAGAAAAAAAAAGAGAAAAACGGAAAAAATAAAGGCCTAAAAGAATCATAGTTAAAAACTTGAATCTGGTAAACGTATTTTTTTCTGTTCAATTTTTATTTGATTGAGTTATTTAGAGTTCGTATTCAGGATTCAGGAAACTGTCATACTGCAGAGAGCAGCATCCTCATCTGAGCCATCAGGGCAGTTTTGGTGGCCGTTGCAGAGGAAGCCAGGGTAGGTGCAGTTGCCATCTTGACACTGGAACAGGCCAGCTGAACAGTAGCGAGGTGGGCAGGTCTGAGGTTCATCCGAGCCATCACCACAGTCCGACTGACCATCACACTTCCACCATATCGGAACGCACCTAAGAACAAGAAAATGTACAAAATTTTTTTACCCCTAATGATGGTTAATAAGCAGTACAGTAAAGTATCATGACTTTCTGTCACACTGACTTCTCATTGTCCCCACAGCGGAACTGGGTACTGGAGCAGTCAGCAACACACTGGATCTTAAATCCAACAGCCACACCAATGAAGTGATCGGGACACTCGCAGGTAGCTCGCTGCCCTCCAGGCGCGATCAGACACAAATGACTGCAGGTCAGGTCATGGGACGAGCAAGGGTTCTCACCTGGGGAATAAGACGATTAAATATAAATTATCTTCTGCCGTCCATTGTGATGCCGGGAATATAATAGCACACAGCTGTCATATACTTACTTCGAGGCTGCCTGTAGGGATGGTAGACGTGAATGTCATAGGGGCGATGGGTGTTGTTGCCCATAACTGTACGCTCCTCGCCAGTGTACTTATGAGCTTTTTCCACAGTATGCGTGTTCCAGTCTGTCCAGTAGACCCAGTCCTCAAATAGAGAAACAGCAAATACATGGGGAAGCGAGCCAGCGATGGCCCGGTGCCGATTCTGGCCGTCCATGTCTGCAAAGCTAAGATGCACAGAATAGGGAGGTTTATACACAATGTGATTAATTCACATGTAGAAACATAAAGAGAAATCAATGTTTAGATAATTCAGTGCAACACAGAATAAACGTTCTGTGGGATACTTCATGAACTCACTCCAAAAAGTTAAGGTGGGAATCAGCAAAGAAGATCTTGTTGTTGGTGTAGTCTATAGTTAGAGCATTAGGCCACTCCAGCTTGGTTGTGATAATTGCACTGATATTTGTTCCATCCATGCCAGCTCTGCCGATATATGCTGCGTCACCCCAGTCGGTCCAGTACAGCCATCTGGGCAAAAGAGGGCAGGAATGAAGGAATGAGGGATGAGGAAAAGTCGAAGCAAAGGAATGGGAACAACTAAAAACCGGGAGGCAGAAACAACTGCACACGTTTGGTTTTAGAGTCAATCATAGATTTTCTCTGTATGTGTGTGTGCGTGTGTGTGTGTCTGTGTGTGTGTGAATACCCATATTTAGGGTTAACAGCCACAGCACGAGGTCTGGTGATAACGTAGGTGTGATTTCTATCTGTAAAGTGTCCCGACAGCAGTTTCTTCTGGTAGCGCCCATCCAGCTCCATCACATGAACTGAGCTGTAATACCTGTCCACCCAGTACAACTTCCTGCAGGAGACAGGAAGGAGAAAAATTAAATAAATATATAAATTAAAAAGATGTTGTTTGTGAAACACATAGATGCAAAGTTAATAAAAATTACCCCATTCATATTCTCTTTTTCTTTATTTTATATATGGAAGTGTGCGTGTGTGTGTTTACTCAGGATGTATTTTGTGCTCTGGGAGCGATTTGCTAGTTATAAAAAATAAAATAGGAGTACATGTGCAAACAATTGTTTTCCAATTGTGCGAATCACTTCTTGTTACTTAATGACCTAAATACTTATATGTAACAGATTATTATCTATTAGGTTTCTCCTGTTTTACAAACCTGCCAACCCAGTCCAGCGCCAGGCCTTCAGCTCCTCCTATATCGTTGCTCACCAGCGTCTCCCTGTCGCTCCCATCGAAGCGCATCCTCTCAATCTTTCCTGCCCCTACATCCAGCCAGTACAGCCTCTTCTCATAGTGATCAAATTCTAATGCCACCACATTTGTCAGGCCCTGCAGGACTATGCTCAACTGTAACCCGTCAGTGGTCAAATTGCGGATGTAGTAGCGATTGGTATACAAGAGGTATGGGTTGATGCCGCTGTTCTGACGGCAGGTGCGTCCATCCGGTTCGCGGATGTACCCTGGGGCGCATTTGCAGTGGTATGAGCCAAAACTGTTCTCGCAGATCTGGCTGCAGACGGCGGGTGTGCTGACACACTCGTCGAGGTCCTCGCAGGCTTTGCCATCTGGCATGAGCTGGTAGCCTGGGTTGCAGGAACAGTAATAACCGGTGAGGGTGTCAGTGCAGATTTGGGCGCACTTGTGGACTGCTGGGTTGAGACACTCATTAATTCCTAAAGAGAATAAAGAAAAAGTGAGAAGCTGAGCAAAGACAGAATATGGATGAGGTTTTAAGACCTGCAGCAAAAATACAGGTAACAAGAGCACTCAAAGAGCACAACTCTGCATGAAGGGCAAGAGCTATACTATAACTCTGATGGTTTATCATAGTGAAATTGTATAATTTTGTATTGAAACAAGAATGTTTTAAAAGAGCTCAAACAATGACAGTGCTTATGTTTTCCACTGACTAATATATTGCTTTAAAATGTGGAGATTAACCAATGGAATCTCAAATGAGCCTTTTTCCTCATTTGTGTCACCCTGACCTTTGACTCATGACTTTAAAGTATTGTGTACTAAAATTGTGTATTTTATTATCTTTGCCCACATGATTGGAGGTGATTGGAGGTGATTGACTGAAATCTTTGGTTTCTATAAACTGTAAAAAAAATTCGATTCAATTTAAATTGACTTTTGGTGCAAACATTGAAGGTCAAGATTGGCCTGCTTAGCCAACCCAGGTACTCACGTCCCCCAAGGCCCTCTATTTTATTGTCAAGTTTAAGGACAATCCATAAAACATTTTCACAGATATTCATATTTGACGTGACCTCTGATTTTCACCAAAATTAAATCATCCTGAGCTGTTTTTTGTGTCTATTGTCACAAAATCTGCAAATGTGTATCTTGAAAACTGTGGATGTTGGACTGCTAACAAACAAACAGACAGACAGACAAATACGTCTCATTACATACTCCATCTTTTCAGAATAAATCATCAGTATTTATAATATGTAGCACAAAGAAACCTGTATAAATATACATATATTTATAAAAGCAAACATTTTCATAAAATATGAAAGCACATAGGCTTGGTCTGATTGACAAATATACTTTTTGTGACACCTTATCTTTTTTCATTAAATATACTTTAACCATATGCATGTGAAGATTTGTGCAACCAAAGTTTCTTTTAGATGCTGTATGACAAGGAAATACAGTTCATAAATTCTATCAAAAATGTCCCACAGTTTTCCATATTTGTTTGCCTCTTACCGCAGCCTTTTTCATCACTGTCGTCCTGACAGTCCTTCTGTCCATTGCACACCTTATTGGAATCGATGCACTCTCCCGACTTGCACATGTACTGTTGAGGAGAGCAGGTGGGCTGAGGCGTGAGGCACAAGCTGTCCGCCTCGTCCGAACCATCCAAACAGTCGTTCTGTCCGTCGCAGATGTAGAAAGAGTAGATGCAGGCTCCGTTACTGCAGGTGAACTGGTTGCTGCTGCAGGTATCATACGTACAGCGCAACTCATCGCTGCCATCTCCGCAGTCATTCACGCGATCACAGCTACAGAAGAGTAGTGATTAATTACTTGCCTGACAATAGAATTTGTCTCGAGACCAGTAAACGCATCTCTACTTTTATTCAATCACACATGTGCCACACTTACTGGAAGGGGATGAGGATGCAAAGCCCGTTGGCGCAGGCAAACTCATTCATGTGGCAGGTCCGGTTGGGACAGTTCTGGAGCTCATCAGCTGCATTGGCACAGTCTTTCTCCCCATCACACACAAAGCTTAAAGGCACACAGCGTGGATGGCCCGGGTACCAGGTCGGACAGGTGAACTGGTCAGAACTACAGGTTCGTTGGCCTCCAGGTGACAATATGATATTAAAAAGCAAAATTGATGAAAGTGTGTGAGAATGCTAACCTGAGATTATATAAACGAATCAAAATATTGAGAAGCCTAACGCTGCACAAATAATGACGACATATCTAACTGGTGTCTCACCACACTCCAGCTCAGGAGCCTCGTCACTGTTATCCCAGCAGTCATTGTTGCCATCGCACACCAGTGACTCAGGGACGCAGTTTCCATTGGTACAAGTGAAATGGTTTGGACTGCATGTTCTGATTATATCTTCTGCACAGTAGAAAACACAGAATCACATTTTAATGACGATGGGAAGTGTGAACTGAAAGAGAAAAAAAGGGCTGGCTTGCTTCATACAAGTGTGTCTTCCTTATGCAAAACACGAGTCACTATGGAAACTCACATCAAACCTAAAGTATAAAAGTCTTTGAATTTAAGTTAGCTGCACTAATGTTGAGCACTCACCACAAGAGGGAGGTTCATCTGTCCCATCAGTGCAGTCTTTGATGGAGTCACATACCCAAGTCTGAGGGATACACTTTCCTACATCACAACGGAACTGATCGGGAGCACATGTACGCCCCGCTGTAACACACATAAGCGCAAGTTTGCATAGATTTACATCTTTATTGATGTGCAGTTCAAATCAGCTGAAGCTACATTCTTTGACTCAGCTCACCACAGAAGAGAGGATTCTCATCACTGTTGTCTCCACAGTTGTTAAAGCCGTCACATAGGTTTCCAGGGTAGATGCAGATGTTGGTGTTGTCACACTTGATCTGGCCATTGGGACATGTACGATCAGCTGGAGAGATGTTGTAAAGACACCAGATCGGATCATTCACCCAAGGCCACTGGCAGCCCTTTGACACTACATACGTAACATTATTTATAACATTATTATTTAGCAATATAGAATCATTTTAGGTGTGAGTACGGGCACAGTATTTGACTTGAAATTGTCCAACTTTAGTTTCTGGGGAGGAACGGATGGAGAAAACAGTGACTTCAATCTCATCTTTTTTTATTTTTTTCTGTGTTTGCAGTAACCATCTCATTGTTTAACATAATCAAATCTTAAGCCCAACAATTAGTCTCGTCATTACTCACGGCAGTTGATTTCGTCGGAGGTAGCGTTGTCCCGACAGTCGTTGTAGCCATCACAGACAAAGCTGGCGCTGATGCAGCGTCCGTTAGCGCAGGTGAACTCGGTAGCAGGGTTACATGTGGGGAAGGGGCAGCCCTGTTCATCACTGTTGTCACCACAGTCATTTGTGTAGTCACAGGTGTAGCTGAGTGGGACGCAGCGCCCATTGTCGCAGGTGAAGTCTGTGGCTGAGCAGGTGTGAAAGGCTGGGGAAGGGTTAAAAGAAACATGAAGGCTTTTGCAGATGTTGGTATAGCTGTTTGCTTCTTGGCTGGCTAAGTTTGTCTGTTTAAATAAGACAATTTGAAAAAAAATGTCCGGATTTCTCACCACAAACTCTCTCGAGCTCATCACTGTTATCGTGGCAGTCATTGTAGCCATCACACTTCCAGCGTGCTAAGATACAGTTACCATTGAGACAGGTAAACTGATCTGCCTGACAGCGTTTCCCCGTGTCTTGTATACAGTCTTTGCCATTGTTTGCCAGATACCAGTTCCCCTCATGAGGACACTGGCACTCAGGGCCGACGGGACCTGAAAAACCACAGGTAACACAGATACCTGAGGTAAGATTCCTTGTATATTTGCTGTCTTTTTCCTGTTGTCTATTACACAACTTAAGGTGGGATTTGGTGCCTTTTTGTGCATCAAAAAGCCTGCTCTTACCAGAAACACAGACATGACTGCAGCCACCGTTGAACTGCTGACAGAAGCTGGAGCAAATCTCCTGCTTTGATTCAGCATGAACGTGAATGTCTTTTGGTAGGTACTCCAGATTCTGGGCTAGCACTGTAAAGCCAGAGCCATCATTCTTACTAGCCCTGAAGACACCTCTTTCAGTCCAGTCGGTCCAGAAGATATCCTGCTTGTAGACAGTTATACCAAATGGATAGCTGAGCCCTTGCATGATCACTTCTCGATTCTCACCAGTCAGGGTCGACCGCTCAATCTTGTCTCTGTAGAAAGAAATTTAAAAAAAGAAAAGAAAATCTGCTGCATAATCTGTCTCTCTCCTAATTTTTAATTTATATGAGAATAACTAGACATACTGTGAAACATCGACCCAGTAGAGCATCCTCTCCTCATAGTCTATAGACAGTCCGTTGGGTGATGTCAGACCCGTGCTGATGATGACAGTCCGGAAGCTTCCACCCAGTGTTGCCCTCTCAATCTTAGCTGGAGATCCCCAGTCAGTCCAATATAAGTAACTGGAAAGTGAGAAGCATCAGACAGAGTAATAAGAGGGAGCTCAAAGCTATACTTGATAGCATGTTTAATATCTGAAAGTCATCTTCAATCTTTGGACATTTGAGAATATTAGTTTGCTTTTACCCATAGCATGGATCAACAACGATGCCTTTGGGCCAGTTTGCAGGGGCTATGATTGACCGGTTACCTCCATCTACTCCGATCGACTGGACATTACGTTTAAAGTAGTCGGTGAAGTAAAGACGCTTGTTTATCCAGTCAAATGCCAAACCCTTTGGATTGTCCAAATCTAAGCAGCATTTAGAGGATTTGAAATTAAATAAAGTCACAAATGAGAAAAATGAAATGATGAATGTGAAGAGTGATAATGCTTAACTCACTTGAGATGATAGTGACAGGGGGGCTGGTGACAGATGTTGTGGTGATGTAGCCAATCCTGCTCCGACCTATCCCGACATACTGCATGAAGAAAATTCGTTTCTCTCGGAAGTCATAATCCAGGCCCATTACGCCATTGCCCAAGGTCACAGTTGGATAGGGTAGACTATGATCCGTTGGGTCTAACCTCTGGCTATTTAGCGTGTAGCCTGTGGAGAAAACTAAGAACTCATCCGGTTCATAACCACATGATACTCCATTACCAAGAAGTGTCCCGTGGGCACAAGCGCATTTAGGTCCTTGCTTGTCTGGAATGGCAAAGCAGAGCTGCTGGCAGCGTCCGTTGTCTTCGTGGCATGGGTTAAATCCTACCAGATTGGCAGATGTAGGCTGGACATGTGCGTCAAAGATGGTGACGTCCATCAGCTCATCGAGATTGTCTCGGATTACCTGGTAACACCAAAAGTTGTTATTTCTTTGTCAGATAGCATAGGCATAGCACAAGTGAAGAATGATTGTTAAATGCCCACAACTAATTCCAACTGCTATCACAAAAAGTATGCCAATTTTTTGCTCGCTGTTAACTCAAACTCTCTCTTACAATACTACAGACAGAAAAACGGTTCTTATGTACCCAAGCTAAATTTGACGAGCACTATTATATTATATTATGTTATATTATAGCTTAACTATTAAGCAAGTAAACCAAAAACTGACATCAGATGTATTTAATTTCCAGATTCTTAAAAGAGGATTTTCTGTTTACCTGTACTTTATATTATTGTAAGCTATCACTGGAGAGAATGACAGCTAAAACTACAACTGTGTGCTAAATTAGGCAAATTCAATGTTCACCTCTGGCTGGTCGGTATTGGCTGGGTCCTTACTGGCTTGGAAGAGCTTTCCAAGCCTTTTATCCACCCACAGAATGTAGTTTCCTAATATAGCTAGTCCCATTGGAGATGGATACCGGCTCCCATACCGAATAATCTGCCTCTCTGTGCCGTCTATGGCCATGCGTGAGATCATATCAAGAACATCATCTGTCCAGTAGAGGAAGTTATTACTGTAATCAACTGTTAGGCCACGAGGTGACGCTAAGCTCTCTGATGCCAACACTGTGCGGTTTGTGCCATCCAGCAAGGCCCGCTCAATCTTCGGTGTCTGACCAGCATCAGTCCAAAAGAGGTAGCGAAGTTTAGGGCTGACAGCCACATCCCGGGGCTGATCCTCAGAGGACTTAATGAGAATCATTCGGAAGGTCGTGTTGATGGCCATCACCTCCAGGTAGGTTTCGGTTTTATGAGCATTGGTGAAATACAAGTTATCTGAAAAAGTAAATAGAGAAATTCTACATTATTTTTGTAGATTCTTTACATTTTACATTAATGCTAGTGGAGGTGGATGGATAAAATTGTTGGTGGATGTTGCCACATACTTGCAATCCAGTCAACAGCCAGACCCTGAATGCCTCTTACGCCAACTCCTGAAGGGAGAACTCTGGTGTAATGCCCTCCATCAGTTCTGGCTTTGAAAATACCCTTGTATGTGGAGTAGGTGCTGTTCTCAGTCCAGTACACATAGCCAGATTTAATGTGGGCATCCACCTTATCATGAATGACATATGATGCTGAGAAAAATATCAGAGAGGAACTTGGGTTAACGGAAAGTTGATGATTATAATCTATGCTATATAATATGAAAACAGGTTTGAACTTCATATTTCACAACAATAAGAAGCCAACATACATCCGCCAACAGGCACCATAGCTTCAGAGTGGTCAGAGCTGTTTACGTGGAAGCCACGGATATATGAGCGAGTGGAGACAACGGCGAAAGATTCATACTCTTGGCAGCTGGAGCCATCTGGAGATGGGTGAAACCCTGTAGTGCAGGCACAGGTCTTCTTATTGTCGGGTTTGGGCAAACAGAGGTGCGGACAGCCGCCGTTGTTGGAGCTGCAGGCATTAGTGGTTCCTGCTGAGTCTGAGGTGGAAAAGACAGGGTGGCGAAGGCCAGCGTTACTGGATGCCCATATTTGACTGGAGAATAAGAATTTATACCAGATCTCCTGACATGAAAAGGGTTTGACTGATATTATACAAGTAATTTTTGTGTTGTGCCGAATCTGTGACTTTCAGCAAGAGAAAATCTTTGATCATATAAACTAAGTTTGGACTTTTTTTTTCTTTTAATTAAACCTGCTTCCCAATATCCTCACATACTTGTCTTCTTCGTATTCTGCGATCTATCTCAAACACAGAGGTGACGCACCCTTTTTTGTCAGGAGTCCTAGACTTAAATGCATCTTAACATAGACAAAGACATAGATGTAGACTTGATTTACACAGTGGGGAAATTCACTTGTTCCAGCAGCACAAAGAGCAGGAACAAAAAGTGAATTAGAGATATATTAGAAAAAGTGAAAAGTGAAAAAAAAAAAATGAGTAAGAGAATAGAAAAAAGGCCAAAATATAGTACTACGTACAGATATGTTCAATAAAAAAACCCCACAAACATAGACAGTATTGTATATTCTAGTATGCACACACAAGTGAAATCTCCCAAAATGAAAGATCATTTACTTTTTGTGAAAAACAAGAAAATGTTATGAGCAAAACACAAAAAGCTAGATTCAGAAAAAGAAATAAAATTAGCCCTAAATATCATTCCCTCAGTCACTGGCTGGTATTAATTGTTATATAATCTAACCAGTCTGCATGAGAACACCAAAAACCCAAAGAACGGACACTTCTGTAGTTATTTGAAAGACACTTGATTCACATACTGTCTCTTGCATGCACTTTGAGACCATGGAGGCCAGACATGCCGCTCCTCATCACCACCATATTGGCGCCAGTGTCCTTCTCCACCCTCTCAATGACCTCATAGTCCAGGTCAGTGTAGTAGAGGTAATTTTGGTAAATAGTCAGCCCCCATGGATGGGACAGACTGCTGACCACTGTCACACGGCTTGCCCCGTCCATAGTGCCACGCTCAATCTGGGAAAATAAGAACGAACTGAAAATATTAAAGTGATCACATTTCTAGTTAAAGTCTACATATTAAACAGGTAACTTGTACTCACCACCCCTGTGCCAGCCACGCCCCAGTACAGTTTCATGGTGGAGATGTCAGCAGTGATGAACCCTATGTTAGCCATGCTGCCTGTGTAGAGGTTCACAAGGTTGCTGCCATCCATGTCAGCGCTGGCGACCTTTGGAGGAACTCCACTGTCCGACCCCTTGTCTGACCAAAATAACTTTCTGTGGATGGAAAGGTTAAACATGACAAGTGATGTGATCTCAGCGAGTCATACCGCCAACTTCTCCTCCCATTCAGTCAAACGTCACACCTATGCGCAAGATTTGCTGCTGGTGCCACACTAATGCTGATAGGTAACAGGATGTTAAAGTCCAAAAAACAGAGATTTCTTAGATTTTACGCTAAAAAAGTTACATTAGGTTAGTTTCACTAAAATGGAAAAATATTCTAATATCATGAAATAAAAAAATCATGTAGACATTCAGTTAAATGACGTCTTGGACCAAGTTACTGTTTTAATTGGGTTATATATGTCACAGGAAGCAAAAGTGAGGGGAATATATTGCCAACATATTCACCAGCCAACTATTGTCTTCTTAATGGTAATGAGGGTGCTGTGTGCTGTGTACTATCTACATATAATATATACAAACTAAATAGCGCTGATCAAGGTAATTATATGTATTTATTAATTTTTATGAACATGTGATTTACCCTCGGGCTGGATCCAGCACAATTCCAATGGGCTCTCCTACTCCCTCTGGTTTTCCGTTAGAGGTGATAAGGATCTTCCTGTAATGCTCACTTCCATCAACACGGATAACCTAAGTGCGACATTGTATTTTATTTACGTCTACTAAAAAAAAAAATCCCCCAATAAATAATAAATGCAAAAGAACAAAAGGCAAATCATAACCTGCAATCAAAAAGATACAAAACCTCTGAGTTAACCATGCATAGCATTTTTAATTGTAGGTTGTTGTAATAATTTGTTAAACTAAACTTCTTCAAGTAACAAAAATTTGAAAATATATCAATTTAATAAATAATAATAATAAAAATAAAATAAAATAGTAATATACCACAATAATATCCAACAAAAAAGGAAAAAAAAGGAAATGAGTATATTTGATTTGGGGTATTTTTGGTAATTAAACACAACATCATGACGACATCTGTATTTAATCTTTTTTGCCACGGTGTTTTCTGATCTCTTCTAATTCAAGTGTTGTTTACTTGTTTGCAGGTACAAGTGAGCCTAGGCATGACAGCATCTTATCAGTAATTGATAATCAAATGATTCTGTGTCTCACTATGCTTACTTCAATGGTTTTGGCAGTGGGATTGGTGTAATACATTATTCGGCCTATCCAGTCAAAAGCCAGACCGGCCGGTGAGCCCATGAAAGCAGCTGGAGCAAACTGAGTTTTGTTTGTTCCGTCGGTTTTCACTCTCCAAATCGAATCCTAGCATGAGAACAAAAGAGTCAATTAATTTAAAATAATTATTCAGAATCTGCAGGTACTATTGATGTGCACTGATCTCATTTTTCTTCTGTTTTAAACTTATTCAAATTTAAAATGAAATACAATTTCCTTCCTAATATAATGAATTGATTGTAATAAGACATCTTAGAATCTATGCATGTTTCACACTCAAATCTATTGCATGTTATAAAACTCTTTCCGCCTCTTCAGTTTAAGACCTCCACTCACAGTGCTCTGCACCCAATAGACAAACTGCTCCTGATCATCAAAGTCAATATCCTGCCCCTGGCTGATGCCAGACACTGGGGTCATTGCATTGTTGGAAGGGTCTGTGGGATCCAGGGGAATGCCAAAAATCACAGTATCCCTAACCACCATTAAGAAGGGAGTCTCATCTAGAAATGAATGGAGAAGAACAAAGAGATGCACAGTTGTAGGAGAGATTTTTTTTTAGCAAAACATTTACAAAAGGAATATTAACCACGAGCAGAAAACTCATTACTGACACTGATTTGTATTCAGCACTGTTAAATTCTGCGAACAGTGAGTCAGAGAAAGGTGTAAAACCAAAATTACCTTTAACACAGGTGCGCTTGTCAGCATCCAGCTTCCAACCTGATTGGCAGTGGCAGGTGTAGTACCTGGGTCTCAGTGTTGACAGCAGGCACAGCTGAGTGCACAGGTGTTCGCTGCATGGGTTGATGGCTAAACACAAAAGCGCAGAGTCACTTTCAGCCTTGAAATCGGATTCATTAAACTACCACACTGGTATCATTAAAAGAAGAATTTAGTGAACAAACAGATGACAAATGAAAGGAACAAGCTGAGCCTTCCACGCTCACAGTGAAGGGATCTGGTGCCTCTGGGAGCATTTTGCTGGCATGATTTGATCCACCTATTTTCTTTAGGGTATCAAAATTGTGCCCCAGGGGACCAGAACTGATAAGGACCTCCTCCATATCCATTCATACTACCCCAAAGTAACCAAGTAATACATAAACATTTACATGACAGAAAGTTGTTGTTTATTCACGATTTACAATATAAATTTCTACTTTTATAGTGGGTTCACAATAGAAAGGAAAAAAGAACATTCTCTGTGAAGAGTTAAACTTTGTTTAACTATTACAGTAGAGCATCACTGTAGTGTGTGTGTGAAACTCATGTACTCAGTTATTATAGACATCAACACATTTTAATACACTTCTTAAAGCTACAAGTATCCAAGTAAGATTTGTTTTTTATTTGAAAACTACCTGTGGGTTGTTTGATGGGATGAGCCATCACAATGCCCATGGGCTGGTAGACATTGTTCATGTGAGTAGTGATGTTGCCACCATGGAACTTGTTGGTACTCATCACCTTGCTGGTATAATGTTCTGACCAGTATATGGTGTCTTCAAAGATGGTCATACCATATGGGTGCTGGAGAACCTGGTGTTAGACACACAAAGGATAAAAACTTTTTGTGAACAATGATTATATTTTAAACGTAACACTCATTGTATTTGAATGGTTTATGCCAGTAACCTCCAATAACAGACATGATAACACCCCTGGCTTTAATGCATGTGGTGAGGAGTGACACCAAATTGTCTCAGTTCTCTAAACAGTGTTGAAAAATGATTAAAAGGGTATAAACTTTAAACAAGTAGTAAATATTTCCTCCTTATAATGAAAAACAGGAAAAACTAAACTTACCACATCGCTTGCCATAACCTGATATCGGTTGTTTCCATTATAGTCACAGTAGTCAATATATCTGAGATAGGCATCTGCAAAGTAGACTCTTTGTGTGGTGTAGTCCAGGGCCAAGCCATTGGGCCAGTAGATCTTAGTGCTGACGATGACTTTTCTCATGGTTCCATCCATGCTGGCCTGCTCAATCCTGGGGTTCTGGCCCCAGTCTGACCAGAACATCAGGTTGGTACTGGCATGAATGAGAAAGACAGAGAGGTCAATGATGTACTTCTTGAGTATGGTAAAAAAGGGTGAAAATGTATTTATAAAGGGCATTTTGCTTAACTATTAAATTAAATAATGTAATACTAGCATAACATCCATGTAACTTGAGTGTACTTACTGGTTACGGGGGTCCAAAACCAATCCACGGGGGTTGGTAATATTTCTACTCATGAGGACCTTGCGATAACGACCATCCAGAGTGGAAACCTCAATGTTCTCCATGACAGAGTCTGTCCAATACAGATTCCGACCAACCCAGTCGACAGCAATACTCTCTGTTACCATCAGACCAGATGAGAACACCTAAAACAACAGGGACATATTGAGCACTCACAAAATTAAACCGTTCATTTAAATGTTGAGATTATAAAGCAAGAAACTCTGTTGTTAGCCTTACCGCTTGTTTGCCAGTGCCGTTCTGGTAGGCACTCCATATCTTTTTCTCTTTGGTATCAGCCCAGTAGATTTTGGAAGTGACACTGTCAAAGTCTACAGTCACAATACTTAAACCGGTGATCACTGGACTCATCAGGGGTGGTCTTATGTTGACTCGGTTGGCAATGATCTGGCTACGTTTGGCAAGCAAAAGCACAGCTGCACTTGGGTCTAAAGATGGAAAAAGAGCTTGTTGGTCACTGAAAGAACTGTAGTATCTTTATAAGTATCTATATAAGTTACACAGTTCCTGTATTGTGTTGCTTGTTGCTTACTCGTAGCTTTGCAGGTCCGTCCATCTGGCTCTAGGAGGTAACCATCAGAACAGTGGCACCTGAAGCTTCCTCTTTCATTGTAGCACTGCTGGCTGCAGAAACCAGGAACCACACACTCGTTGATGTCATCGCAGGTCTTTGAGTCATTGAGGAGCTGATATCCTGGTGGACAGGTGCATTCAGCCCCAAATGGGCCTTGAATACAACTGTCGCTGCAGCCCCCGTTGCTGAGTGAACAGTCATCTTCATCTACAGGAGTTAGTAATATAATGTATTAGTAATATAATGCATTTGTGTCTTAAATTCTAGTACATTTGTCATTTTGTCTTACTTATACCAGTTTTTAAGTAATATAAAGCATTTTAGCTATCCTTAATTTCTTTTCTTTTTATGTCCATTTAGAGATTTAAATGTTATACACAATGCATTTAACTCACTGCAGATAGGTGACTCATCTGCTCCATTGGGACAGTCCCTTTGGCCGTCACACACCTTGTCCTGGTCGATGCACACCTCACTGATCGGACACAGCCACTGTCCGGAGGGGCAAGTAAACGGAGGGGTGGGGCAGTTCAGTTCATCACTCATGTCCCGGCAGTCATTTTCGCCATCACACAACCAACTCATTGGAATGCATATCTTGTTGGCGCATTGGAAGTAGTTGGATCTACAGGTGACAGGTGGGCAGGAGTTGTGTTCATCAGACCCATCCTCGCAATCTGAGTGACCATCACACTCCCACTCATCTGGTACGCAGAAACCGTCGCTCTGGCACTGAAACTCATCATCGTGGCAGAGGCCTGGACCTCGGGTGGCTGGAGTTGTCAAAGAAAATAAATAAATAAATAACTAAAACTTCATTGACTTTCTCTGATAAATTTGAGCAGAGAGTGGAATTCCCAATCTATAATTATACAAAACATTATTCTGTGCAGGTAACATACGGCAGCCTTGTTCATCAGAATGATCCCTGCAGTCAAACACTCCATCACACCGATAACTTGAATAGACACACTGGTCCCCACTGGCACAGGCAAACTCAAAGGAGGAACAGGAAAACTCTTAAAACACAAAGGAAACAGAAAACAAAGAAAAGACGAGTAAACTTTTATGGCACAACAACAAACATATGTTCAATATGCCAACTACAATCAGTGGCTTGAAGCTTTTTGCTGCCATCAAACTAGTTGCATTAAATATACGATATTGCTCCAAAGATCTAAAAAAATTACTAAAACATGGATGATTTTCCAGATACGTACCACAATCTTTCTCATCAGAGCCATCCAAGCAGTCTTGGTCTCCATCACAAACATAGAAGCTACTGATGCAGCGATGATCGGGACACAAGAAGTAGTTTGGAGGGCATGTGGTGATGGTTGAATCTGATAATCACAAACAGAGCTCATTTATTTATTTATTTTTAAACATGTATGTTAATATGTAATAACATAATAGCTGTATGTGCAGCAATTCAAGAAGACTTGTGGGATCTGTGCTTACTGCAGTTGTGCTCATCAGAGCCATCCCCACAGTCATTTTCACCGTCGCACACCCATTTTGCAGAGATGCATCTGTTGTTGTTGCAGGTGAAGTAGCCGGATGAACAGCTGGTAGGGACACGAGTGGGACAGTTAATCTCATCTGAGCCGTCTCCGCAGTCGTCCATGCCATCACAGCGCCAACTGGCATAGATGCAATGCTTGTTGTTGCAGGTGAAGGCGTACGGAGAGCAGGTCGCTCCTGATAAAGATAAATGAGGCGATCAGTTGGATTACTTAAAAATATCTTCTTACACTAACTCCTAAGCATGTGCGTTTTTCTTTTTCATTCACCTGAATCTGTGCAGTTGGCCTCATCAGTCTGATCTATGCAGTCAACAATCCCATCACAGCGGTCAGAGTTAGGTCGGCAACGTCCTTCGTCACACTCGAAAGAGTAGTCCCCGCAGATGTTGTCAGGTGGAGGAACGGAATCGTCCTTGATGCAGTCCCTCTGATTTGACTGAAGTTTCATACCATATGGACAGCCACACACTCGACCAAAGTTGGGAGTTGGAAAACAGAAGTGGCTGCAGTGTCCATTTGGCAGCATGTTACATCGGCTATTGAAGGCTGTCAGAAAGATCACAGAGAAGAAGTCAGTAGGGTCCTCGATTGCTTTATCACTGCTCATGTGTTGTCTTGACCCAGGAGATCATTTACTTCCTACCGCCACTCAAAACTCCAAAGTCCTGGTCCTACAGCACTAAACTGCACCTCTAAGCACTTTCCAGAATCCAGTGTCTTTCTTTGGATAAACTTACTGCTGTGGAGGTCAGCTGTATAGGCCTTGATATTCATGATGCCGGTGATTCCTTGTCTGACCATAATGTTCCCACCACCGTCCCTCTTCCTCATCTCGAATATAGCACTGGTCCTTGTATCAGACACATACAGGTAGTCTACAAGATAGATATTGCTGCGTTACAAGCAGTTGCATATGTAACTAAAATACATTAAATGTTATAAATGTGATTTAGTGGTTGTTACAAGCTGGTAGAGTGGGTCAGCTACCAATCACAAGGTCGGTGGATCAATCAGTTCCTGTATCCTCCAGCTATGTGTCAAAGTATTCTTGAGCAAGAAACTGAAACCTGATTTGTCCCGATGCATCCATTGGAGTGTAAATGCATGTGCTCTTGGGCATAGATAAAAGCACTGCTTGATTGTGTATTTGTTTTGGTAAGTGAGATTTGCAGTAGAAAGTACTTTGAATACTAAATTGAGTAGAAAAGTGCTATGTAAGTTCCAGTCCATTTACCAATTCCATTTTTGGAATTGGGGAATATCGAATAGATGCATACTGTAGAAGCCAGAAGGTAATCAAATAACAATAATAAGGCTAACCTTGGTTTCCTTAAGAGCTTGCTTATGGTGAGTATGGTGTGTTTGTGTTTTGTGCAGTATTCTGAATGAGTGTACAGTTGAATTAACCTGTATAAACTGTCAAAGAGTAGGGCTGAGTGATCTGGCCGATGTTGGTAAATGTCTGTCTGTCACTTCCTTCAACATCAATGTGGCCAATCTGATCAAGAAGGGTATCGACCCAGTACAGCCTGTTATTCCTGTCAAAGAGAAATCCACAAAGAAGAAGTGTAGCTGAGTCATACAATATACTGTTTATTATTCCTTAAATGGAGCCAAGCAGGTATTCTCATAACTGACATAGTTGACCACTCTACTTACATATAGTCAACAGCAAGCCCAAATGGCCATCCCAGTGTTGTGTTGACAAGAGGGACAGCATTGCTGCCATCAGTGAAGCCTCTCATTATTACTGCTGGACGATACCAGTCAGACCAGAACAAGTAGCTGTGGAGAAATGTTTGGTGAAGTAATGCAGTAGACTACAGTGAATAATGATAATTGTTATCCTGAATATAAAGGGTGGAGGCCCATGTGATGGCTGTGGTTTAGGAAGTAGTAGTGTAGAGTAGTGAGTATAGTAAAAGTGGTTTGAATAGACAGCATTTTTCTATGATCAGAAAAATCTGAATAAAAAAATATTCATTACCATTTATTGTGTTTAATTTCCTTCCTGTCTCTACAAACTAAAACCTGCTCAGGCAAAGTATCTTTCAGGAGTTATTTGTGATAAATCTGATAACTCACCCAGCACTAGGATGCACTGCAATTCCCTTTGGGTTCCCTAATCCCGTCACAATGTCTCGTCTGGACTTGTCTGTGACTCTGAAGGCTACCACTGAGCTGTAGGTGCTTGTGGTCCAAAACAAAACTTTTGAGGTCCAGTCATATGCCATGGCATCAACTATCCCCACTCTGTAGCCTGTCAAAATCTGCTGAACTGAGATTGGATAAATATAATAGGTGAGATCGCTTTGATTAAACACTGTAACTATATCAAGGTTAGGTTATAAAACTCAGCACCCTAAGTGCCACTTTCTTTTTTTTTTACCCAAGTCAAAAACTCACCACTGCCATTGAGGTTCGACTTATAGATGAGGCCTTTGGACCTGTCGTTGTAGAAAACAGTCCCCTCATTGCCGTCAAACTCCATTGCAGAGCCAGAAAAAGACGCCCCGAGGCCTGTGAGGGGCAGAGTGATGTCCTCCTGCGTGGACAGATTCAGTGGGATTCCCCGCACCGCCAGTGAGGAGGCCACCAGCAAGTAGTCCTTCACCTCTGCACAAAAAATTAGTGCCAGGGCTTATTATCATATAAACTTGCTGTTTAAATGATATATTAAAAAAAAACTTAAAATTCCCAGATCTAGCTTACCAGAAAGGATTGTAATTTTTTAAATTGTCAGCACATTATTATACATTTCATTAACTATTTTTTTTAACCCAGAACAGAAACACGTATATAAACACGTGTATAAGAGAAGGGTAAGGTCGTTTTACAAATTAGATAAACTTACTGAAGCAGGACCGAAGGTCCGAATGGAGGTCATAGCCATGGCGACACTTACAGCGGAAGCCCAAACCATCATTGTCAGTGCGGTGACTTAAGACACAAATTTGCTCACAGCCACCATTGTTTCTCCCACAAGGGTTCTTCACTGCATTACAAGACAGATGTCATCATTTTATGACATCACTCAGTGTAGTATGTAGCTCTTATAGATAACAAAGAATTTTCTTTTTGTGATAAGATAAAAATTTGTTCACAACACAGTTGGTAGATTTTTTTAGTCAAGTAAGCAGTTCACGATATCTGGAGAAATACATTTTTAATATTTTATTTTTTACCATAAATTAAGAGGCATCTTGTTACATTATATTCAAGGGAAAGCAGACATTTTAAAGTTGTTTTCCTCAGACTGAATGTGACTGAATCTCCTTACCCAGAGGCTGCATGAGAGGGTGGGAGACGACAACATGGCCTGGCCGGTTCGCGGCACGATAGAGGAGGGTTGGGTTGCTGCCATTGAAGCGATTTGATCTGATCACACCCATCTTGCTCCAGTCAGTGAAGAATACGTGGTTTTCAAATAAAGCAATTCCAAAAGGATGTGGCGACTGTGTTCCACCATTGAGGACTAATTTTCTATGTGAAACAAGTACGCCTTAGAAAGAACATCAAGGAGGATACAACTGAAGGAGGTCAACAATTTATTTCTAATGTAACCTTTACCTGTCCAAACCACTGTACGTGACAGTCTCCACTGTGTCAAAGTGGCTGTCAGACCAGTAGACCCTCTGGGTGATGATATCAAGGGTAATTCCTGTTGGCGTGCCGAGCCTGCTCTTTACCAGCTCGAAACGATTGCTGCCATCCATGAAGGCACGTTCGAGCTTAGACTGCACATTGTTACCACCCATGTCTGTGAAGAACATGTAGCTACAAACCAAAAAAAAAAAAATGTAAAAGGATGTTATATGAGTTATATGAGCAAAACTCAGGTGAACTCAAAGACTCTTGGACATCCAATCTTTTACACTCAAATTATCTTCAACTCACAAAATTATGATGTTTATCAAACTTTTTTCCTGACACTGAATTTGTAGATGAAAAAATTGCCAGTAATTCAAAAACTAATGCCCAAACCTAAACTCATATTTCAATCTTTTTGTGATTATAAAACCACGTCATTTATTTAAACTCACCCTACTGTTGGGTCCAGGGCGAGGCCATGAGGAGTCCGCAGGTTTTCAGCCACCAGCGTCACTCGATTTCCTCCATCAAAGTCACACACATCAATGCGCTCCACCCTGGCCTCCAGTACATAAAGTTTGAGGTTGATCCAATCAACTGCAATATTCTGGACGCTGTGAACCGAATTATTCAGAATTGCCTTAATGTCGCCTCCGTAATAGTTGGCGGAATAAACCTGGCAAAAGAATTTCAAAGTTTTGGATTAATGTTTGTTGTATAAAAAATAACAATAAAACATAATCAAGAACTTCATCAGACATTAAATTCAAACTGACTTTTTTGGTATAAGTATCACTCCAGAAGACTTTGTCATTGTGCCAGCTGTAGGCGACTGCCACTGCTAAACCTTTTCCCTGGGATGGCACCAGAATCCTGACAATGCGCCCGTGCAGATCAGCTATCATCACATCACCCCCATTGGTGAAAATTAGCTGTGGCAGCCCAGCTGAAAAACACAAATAACAGACACGAGAAAATGTAACCATTGATGTAATTGCAAACAAAATATGAGGAAAAGAATGATATTTGAAGATCGTTGTCACTCAGCTGGACTGTAAACAATAATGTCTTTTTAATTTAATGATTTCAGTCTCATCTTTTAAACAGCAAAATTAAACACAGGTACCATGACATGTGTGCACTCTCTGTACCTGACACATTTGCTCTGCAAACATGACCTTGCTCCAAGACGTATCCATCAGCACAGCTGCAGTGGTGTGTGCCAGGACGATCCTCACACAGCTGGTCACAGATGCCCCAGATCTGACAGTCATTGTAGTCTGGGCAACAGAACAAACAGCCATGTTTTGGATGTATAATGTGAGGGACATTATAGTAAGAGTCTACACAAATGATTTGCAGCTAGAACACACTGAAATTACACAGTTTATGCTTCCTCAAAGCTCTGTGCTTTTTCCAGGACGCAAAACACAAGTTGCTAAAACTGTGTGTGCTGTCGATGTCTGATTCAATTTTAACACTGCCACACATAGAGACGATGTTTTTAGGGAAAAAATACATATAAAAGAACTCACCTACACACGACCGACTGTCATTGGCTACAATGAAGCCATCAGGGCAGTAGCATGCACCACCCTGAGGAGATGGGTGGCAGTAGAACTCACAGCTCAAGGCTGAGCACCTTTCCAGGCCTGTGAGTCAACATCACAGAAATGAACATCATGGACAAATGTAAACAACGGTAAAAGTGTAAAATTAATCCTATTCTAAGAAGCTTGGATGCCAGGACGTTATTGGTATCGTAATAAGCTTTATAGGCCTGAAAATGACCTGCAAAAAGTTAATATTAAACCAAGTGTGTGTTAAGGCAGTGATAAGGAATGCAAAAGTTATGATTATAGTATCTGAGCAGCTGACATCTGGTAAACATTTGTGATTACTCGACACTATAGCCAAAGCCCTTACACCCAAATTTATCAAATTGTGGTTCTGAAAACGTGAGACATTCTACACTCGACAAGATCTCGATCACTTCAATTCCTTCAGATTCATCTCATTTGTTGTTGTTGTTGTTTTTTAGATTAAAGGCAGGTGTGACATGATATTATCATAAATGGTAGAATTCTTAGTGCGGGACTTGTACACGTCAGGCTTACCGCAGGTTTGCTGTGCAGTGGTGTTGGTCTCATCTGTGCCTCCAGGACAGTCAGGCTTGTCATCACACACGTTTCCCACTGGTATGCACATGGTCGAGCCTGGGCATCCCCACTCACCGGGGTAACAGTCTCGGGAGTTACTATCTGAAAAACATTGAAAGACGTATAATTATGTTAAAAATATGCAAACATTCTTTCATGTTGTTGTGAGGAAAAAATCTTTCTTGATTTGTTATGATGGTATAATTTGAGCTTTAACTCTTGAAGAGTGATTTCAAAACTCAATGAACCTTCTAATACGTCTAATAGTTAAACTAATCTTGACATTTTCATGAACTTTTTAAAAATTATTTTATTGAAAGTCATAAACAATGTCACATATTAGTAAATCAGTCAAGTTTTCTCACCACATCCTCTCTCATCACTGTAGTCCCCACAGTCGTTGAACTTGTCACACACCCACTGCTGAGGAATGCAACGGCCACTGGCGCAAGTGAACTGGTTGCCACTGCAGCTCTGGTAATCTAGACAACCAGTAAGTTAAATGGCAGCCTGTGCTTATTGAACACAATTTAAAATGTAAAAGAGGCTCATAATTAGCTAGCATGTGTGTTCGGTCTCATTCACCCGTACCACAGTTTTGCTCATCACTGTCATCCCCACAGTCATCCCAGTGGTCACACACAAATGACATCGGGATACAGAAGCCATTTGCACATTGGAACTGGTGGATGGGGCAATGCTGAGTTGCTGAAAATAAAACAGAGACTGGATTTACAGGAGGTCCAGCAATATGTTAATTATTAAAATGAGTTATGACTCACAAAAACTAAAGTAACAAGTGAACACATCTCAATTTAGGTTCATCAAAATCACGAGGAGTCCAGACTGATAAAGATCCAGAGGTACAAAGGTTGAGACTTTACTGCTCTCTGGCACCATAGACTGCTAAACTATAATAATGCATAGCTGGGCTATCATTACCTGTAAACCAAATAAAATTAAAATACTTCATAGCCATTATGCAGAATAAAACTGGCTAATTAGGAGTTAAGCATAACTATCAAAATATATAATATGAAAATAATAAAAATGAACTTTAAAAACTTTTAGTTGCTTTAAAACACGGCAACCGTTTTGTGAATATGTTCTTTAAGCAACTGGGATGAAAACATTCTGCAATGTTGCTGCACAACATCATTTCATGCATCATCTTAACACCCCATGCAGGACCTACCATTAGAGGCCAAACAAATATGGTGTCTGGAAATGGCTTTTTGCTATGTTTATACAACAGGAGAACACTAATAAAATTTAGGTAATAGCATATTTTAAAAATATAATTAATAGAAAAAGTATAAATATACATAAATTTATTAGAATTTTTGTTAAATTAGACGCAGAAGAGACTACAGAAGCCTATTTCTGCTACTGAAGAATTTTTTTGCCGTCCATGAGGCCCAACATCAGGTTGGTATCTCAAGTATCTTGAAATTCTGAGTTTAGTGTGACAAAAGTTTGACTTGCTCACAATTAACCTGAAGTTTTGAGTCGAACTTTTGAGACATGTAACTCAACATGTTGACTTAGCTGTGCTCGGCACTTTAAGGCATGTAAAGGTAAGATAGGTAAGAAAAGTGTTGAATTTTAAAGGTGCAGACAAGACAATGGAAGCTAGTTTCCACAACTGAAAAATGTTTTTCTCCTGTTGGTGAGTTCAAATTTCAGATTGGTATCTTAAAATTCTGACTCACTAACTCAGAATTTTAAGTTGTCAATCTCAAAAGTTCAAGTTACATATCGCAAAGTTTGGATTGACATAGTAGGTGGAAATCTTGAGTTCAGTATGTTGAAAGTCTGACTTGCTCAGACATAACTTGAAATTTTGAGATAAATAAATTTTTTTTTTCCTACTTTGGTGGAGTTGAAAACAAGAAGAGTAGAAGCGTTATCTACTCACTACAGTTGAATTCATCAGAGCCGTCTCTGCAGTCTTCTCGTCCATTGCAGTGCTGTGAGTTGTTGTAACAGGCCCCGTTGGCACAGGTTTTCTCAGTGCATTGTGGATAGTCTGCAAACAACAAGTAGTTCCTCCATTACAATTAGAATACTATCATCTAGTAAAGTAACCATGGCCGGTTACATCTAGATCTAAAACTCTTACTGCAGTTATTCTCATCAGAGTTGTCCACGCAGTCCTTTACGTGGTCACATCTGTACTTGCTGGGGATACACTGGCCCTCCCGACAGGTGAACTGGTTTGGGCTGCAGGTCCGTCCACCTGAACCAAAAATATGAAGCTAGGCTTGTTTCAAAAATCCACTTTGTGGGAGAATTAGACTTCTAACAAGGAGCGTAATGTGATTATAGAATTACTTCTTGGTTCAATAAGTCTTTGCCACACTGAAAGCCAAACACAGACTTTACAAAAGAAATGGTTCATAATGTAGATTGTCTGTTATAACGGGTTTGTGTAATGAATAAACCACAGTGTTAACTTTAAATTCATGAATATTGGAAGACCTAAGTTTTAACATTAGATACTTGAAATGCTTAGTTTAGATAGCTTCTTTTACAGATCATTTAAAGAATCAACTTTTTTTTTAAATTTTGTATAGTTTCTGTTCCTTTTGAAATTATGAACAATACCTTTAGAGGCCACCTAGTTTAAGTCTTCATTACTTCATTATAAGTACACATTTTTTTTGTCTTGTGATTATGACAGTTTTCAGGACAAACAAAAGTGTTTGTTCATTTCTCTGTTCTTTGACGCCACGTTCAAGCATTCATTCTGCATACCACAGGTTCTTTGCTCATCTGAGCCGTCGATGCAGTCCTCCTCCCCATCGCAGACAAATCCTGATGGGATGCATTCACCGCTTGTCACACATTTAAATTCCTGTGAGGTGCACGACGGAGGTGCTGCAACAAAAGGAGCAAAACAGTTGTTTAGGATACAAAAGAAATGTAAGTCATACAGTTTATGCTTGGCTTCACATTTCTTCTCTTTGTTTTATTTTTGTTACATTAGCAAGAGCACATGTACCAACATATGTCTGACTTCTTAAAGGGATTTTTTTCTGTGATTGTTTGCGATGCTTACGACAGTTCAGCTCATCTGAATCATCTGTGCAGTCTTTCGTTCCGTCACACCTCCAGCCTATGTCGATGCATTGTCCATTGTTGCACTGAAACTGATCACTTCCACAACTTCCTGTAGAGAGATAAAATATCTTTCTTTCTTTTTTTAATGGCCAGCATGTGTGCTTCACATGCACAGATTTGGTTAGAAATCGTTTACAAAATATACATATAAAAAATAGGTGGAAATCAGGCAGCTAGCTGATATTTAATTGCTTGAAGTCCACGTTTCTTAAGTAAGATGAACATGTTTTATAGTTTTCTTCACAAATGAGTTACTATGTTTATGAGAGCTACTTCCTCCGTGTGCAGCTTCTGAACTTTAAACATGTGAGTCGGCGTTTTAAACATGACTAATTAACACCTCAGCAGTCCAACTTATGACCCAGGAGATTATGAGACCATCATTTTAAACTCATTATCAAACTTTAATTTAGCACAACGTTAACTGAATTCGTGTACTTAGTAGAAAAGCTAGCTATTTTAATTCTGCTTCATTTTTCTAAATGAAATTTGTGGTTAATCATTTAGTTTTGATTGCAGTTTGGTTTTAGTTAAGAATGAGTTTGCTCTGTTGTTGTTTAAAAATGTTAAAATTTATTAGATCACCCTGGATCACTTCGCTCTTAGACTGAAGGCTTACTTGTTGTTCCCAGAGTATTTAAAAGCAGAATGGGAAGCGGAGCCTTCAGTTTTCAGGCCCCTCTTCTGTGGAACCAGCTTCCTGTTTGGATTTGACAGACAGACACCCTCTCTACTTTCAAGATTATGGTTAAAACTTTCCTGTTTGATAAAGCATATAGTTAAAGCTGGATAAGGTGATTCTCCCTTAGTTGTGCTGCAATAGGTGTAGGCTGCTCGGGGCTTCCCATGATGCATTGTGTGTTTCTTCTTCAGTCACCTTTCTCACTCACTGTGTGTTTACACACCTCTCTGCATTTAACTATTAGTTATTATTAATCTGTGGCTCTCTTTCTCCCCTCACACCAACAGGTTGCAGTAGATGGCCATCCTTCCCTGAGCCTGGTTCTCCCAGAGGTTTCTTCCTGTTAAAAGAGAGTTTTTCTTTTCCACCAACACCAAACCTCTTGCTCATGAGAGGGTGATATGATTTTGCCACATCTTTTCTTTTTTCTTTTTTTCTCTTTGTATTAATATGTGGTCTTAAGCTCATGATATAAAGCACCTTGAGGGAACTGTTGTTGTGATTTGGTGATTTATAAATAAATAGGAACTGAAGTTATTAGACTGGATTAAACCAAACTGCTAAAAATTAAAACCAAAAACATACAGTAGTTTCTTGTTTTTTAAAAAATATTATTTTAGTTTTGTAAGTACACAACATGTTTTCAGATTTTTAAAAATTTACTTTTTGTTTAAGTTCAGTTAACTGAGATTTTTACATTAAATTATAGCATTTATTTTAGGTAGTGGTTAAAAGTATTAACTTTTTTCAGATTTTAGAACTCAAATCACTTACAGAAATTACACATTTTGGTGAAAAAAATCACTGGTATGACACAGTTTTCCCCTTTTTATTGTACTACTAGTGTATTACTTACCTAAAAGTATGCTTTCTTGAAATGAAGAGTGCACACCTACCTTGAACAAGTTTAAATCCCTGGAACAGCAGCAAAAGAATTAGAAGATGAAGACCTTTAAGGTCCATAATTTAAAGCTCTATTTTCTTTTGGAGTGATCTTGTCTTCCTCGGGTCTGGCGTTAGTTTGACAAAGTATGTATGCTCATGTTAAATCTGTGCCCTTACTCTCCCAAACCCAAAAGAGAATGACTTCAGATAGTAGATGTATGGCTCAGACCAATCAAGGAAGGAGTGATCTGAGATGGAGTTATACAGCTTTTTATGGCCAGCTATTTTACATAAACTTGATCTAAGATTAACTTTTAATTGTTGGAATGTTGTCTATGTCAGCAAGAAAAAGCAACTTGTCATATTTGTGTAAGATTATTAAAAAAAAAAAAAGGTTAACTAAGTTAAAGCATCGATTATTGGTTCCTTTTAAGTAGCTGGAAGTAGTTATTTTTTAGTTCTATATAAAACATTAGGAATTTATACATTTTAAATTTTGTTGGAAATGTAATGACTATGATTGAGGCATGGTTGATGCTGCCAGGCAGGTTGAAATTAGTATGTCAGAAACTGCTGATCTACTGGGATTTTTTTTCAAAGATCTAAAAAAGAGAAAATATCCAGTGAGCAGCAGTTCTCTGGGTCAGAATGTCTTACTGATGTCAGAGGAGAATGACCAGACTGCTTTGAGCTGATAGGAAGGTAACAGTAACTTCAACTGTACCTTAAAGCAAATTGGCTTTTGGAGCAGAACAACACACCAGGTGCCACTCCAGTCAGTTTAGAGCAGGGAAATAAATATTGTCTGATCAAGCTTGTCTTCTGCTGTGACATTTAGATGGTAGGGTCAGAATTTGGCATAAATAACATGAAAACATGGATCCATCCTACCTTTATGACCTCAGTGTACACATCTACAATTTTTCCAGCACCCTGTTGAATCTACACTACTGGTCAAAGGTTTAGGACCACCCTAATATTATGCTGAAATGAAAGCATAATACAAATAAGCAGTTGGAGTTAAAAAAGAAATCATGTAATCAATTTATAGACCAAAGCATATTCTAAACTTTTGACTCGTAAAAGTAGCCACCTTTGGCACATATAATAGCTGAACACACCTGTGACATTCTTTCAACAATAGAAATCAAATATTCTTCAGAAAGTTCTTCCCATATCTGTTGGAGATGTTCCCATAAATGTGTGGCACTCATAGGTTTCTGTTCCCTGAAAAGGGCCTTTTTGTATAATTCTGTTAGGATGCCTGGGTCGTTGACCCAGGGTTTTGAGTTTATTATATTATTTATCCTTTCTAGTCTTTGGTTTCTTTGTTAGAGTTCTATCTTATGGTTTATGTCTCTGTGTTCTCTAGTTGCTCTGTCTCCCCTGTCAGCTGTATCCCTTTGTCAAGTTCGCGTCTCTGTGTTAGGTTTCCTGTTTTACTTTGAAAGTCCATGTCTCATGTAAATGCGTCTGGTTTTGCTTCCTTTGTCTCGTTAGGCCTGATTTGCCCCAGCTGTGTTTCCCTCCTGTTACCCATTCCCTGATTGCTCCCTCTGTGTATTTAAGCCCTGTGTTTCTCTGTCTGCATAAGTTTACCTTAGAGTCTCAGTTTTGTTACTTTTGGAGTTCAGCCTTAAAGCTGTATTTAAGTTCACCTTTTGTCTCAGACTGTCTGCATTTTAGGTCCTTTTCCTGCCTGCATACAGCCTTCACATAACAAATTCTGATTTGTACACGTTTCTTCAGTTTTGGGAAACCTTACCTTACCTCTGGCAGTTCACCACTTACCTTTGTACCATTTCCAGCTATTCACTGGACTTGAACAACTTAAATTGGAAAGAATAGCTGGAAAAATTGGGGTGTTCTAAAACTTTTGACCAGTAGTGTATGCCACAAAGAATGACGGAAAAGGGGGGTTTAGCTTAGTACTACCAAGATCTAATTAGTAAAGTGTCTAAGTGTATATAAAAAAATTGTGATTTGCATGAGATTTAATCATGCAAGATACAACATCACACAGCATCAGTATTAATCATAGTTAATGCTGTTGCATTTTGACAGTTGTATTTTTTGCACAATATACACTATTAAATATTGTCAGCAATTTTTGCACAATCAAAACAAGCTAACAATTTTTCACACAGGTCTTTCATGTCCCTAAATCCCCTCCCTTCCAGCACACACAAACAACAATAAGTCAAAGATGCTGCCTTAGTGTCAAATGGTGCCACATCACTGAAACATCATCACATTTTCTGACAGTTTCTGCCAACTTCTTTATTGCACTTTATTACTACAGTGTATGACCTTGTCAAAGCAACTCTGCTCAATTGCTTTATAGCACAAATGGATGTCTCCTTGCAGGAGAAATATATAATGATCAATGTTCTTCCAGAATAAATGAAACTAAGCCTAGTGAACAATACTGCATGAGTGAGAGGTCTGTGAGAAAAGCTTCTCTCTGAAATTGTTAAAATTATGTCAATCCCACATTTAAGATTGAAGCCTACCCCTAAAAAGAAAAAATAACAGAAATTGACATAATTTAGTATTTTGGAATTATAATTAACTCTTTCTCTGTCCACACACACACACACACACACACACACACACACACACACACACACACACACACACACACACACACACACACACCTTTCTATAACGGTTCCTCTTCTTGCTCCTGTTTTTTCTCGGGTCTGCTGACGGAGGTATTCACTAAGCACATCATCAGTTGTGGGGATCTTCATGATGTACTCATAGATCACAGTTCTGACACTCTAGTCCTCAACCTGCTTCACTTCTGCTTGATGTACACTCTTAGGGTGAAACCCTCCGTGCATGGTAAGGAGCTTCCTTGTCTTGATATCAGTGGCTTCTATCGCCTTCTTTGACCAGCTGATTATCCCAGCAGGGTATCTGAACACCGGCAGGGCATGGGTGCTGATTGACCAGATTTTGTTCTTCACATTCAGCAGACTTCTCAGGACTTGCTTTACCTTGTTTGGTTTTATAATGTTACACAAATATAATGTTACACAAATAAACACAAATGTTTATAATGTTACACAAATAGGAGCAAGAACCCAGTGGTTCTTGGGCATATCCTTGACTAATGCCCTTCTACCCCGAATGTTCAGATTGCCCGGGCAGCCAGCTCTAGGAAAAGTCCTGGGGGTTCCAAACTACTTCCATTTACACATGATGGAGGCAACTCTGCTCATTGGGACCTTCAATGCTGCAATTTGTTTTTTCTGTACCCTTCCCCAAATCTGTGCCTCAATACAATGTCTGCAGACATTTCTTTGGACCTAATTGCTTGGTTTGTGCTCTGATCTGCATTGTCAATGCCATATGTACATATGCAGGACCTTTCCAAATCATGTCCAATCAACTGAATTTACCAGCGCTCGAAATATCAGGTTCTGAATTATTTCAAGACAAATGAGGAAATCATGTGGTTTTCCAATTGGTACATCTGCTGTGCATAAAGTTACTGTTTTTCTGTTGTTGTACGTTGCTGTTATAAATTCTATTACAGTGTTTGTTGTTAACTTTTAGTACAGCTGCAGAAATACTCTAATTCTGATTCTACAGTGGTTGGATGTATTAGTGATGGGCAGGAGGAGGAGTCCACATCACTAGTGGATGATTTTGTGGAGTGGTCTGGGAGGCATCCAAAGCCTCTGAGTGTGAAAAACATCATCTTCAGAAGGAAGAGAGTGGTGACATGACCCATGTACATCCTGGATGAAGATGTTGATGTGGTAGAGAAATATAAGTATCTGAGCTTCCACACCAACAACAGACTGAACTCGAATACCAAGACAGGGAACAGGCTCAATTTCCACAGGAAGCAGAGATTCCTTAGTAGCCACTGGCTTGCAAAAGTATTTGGCCCCTTGAACTTTCCCACATTTTGTCACATTACAGCCGCAAAAATGAATCAGTTTTGTTGGAATTCCACGTGAAAGACCAACACAAAGTGGTGTTCACGTGAGAAGTGGAACGAAAATCATACATGATTCCAAACATTTTCTACAAATACGTAACTATAAAGTGGGCTGTGCGTAATTATTCAGCCCCCTTTGGTCTGAGTGCAGTCAGTTGCCCATAGACATTGCCTGATGAGTGCTAATGATTAAATAGAGTGCACCTGTGTAATCTAATGTCAGTACAAATACAGCTGCTCTGTGATGACCTCAGAGGTTGTCTAAGAGAATATTGGGAGCAACAACACCATGAAGTCCAAAGAACACACCAGACAGGTCAGGGATAAAGTTATTGAGAAATTTAAAGCAGGCTTAGGCTACAAAAAGATTTCCCAAGCCTTGAACATCCCACGGAGCACTGTTCAAGCGATCATTCAGAAATGGAAGGAGTATGGCACAACTGTGGCACCACCTAAACTCACAGGCCGAACAAGGAGAGCGCTGATCAGAAATGCAGCCAAGAGGCCCATGGTGACTCTGAACGAGCTGCAGAGATCTACAGCTCAGGTGGGGGAATCTGTCCATAGGACAACTATTAGTCGTGCACTGCACAAAGTTGGCCTTTATGGAAGAGTGGCAAGAAGAAAGCCATTGTTAACAGAAAACCATAAGAAGTCCCGTTTGCAGTTTGCCACAAGCCATGTGGGGGACACAGCAAACATGTGGAAGAAGGTGCTCTGGTCAGATGAGACCAAAATGGAACTTTTTGGCCAAAATGCAAAACGCTGTGGCGGAAAAATAACACTGCACATCACTCTGAACACACCATCCCCACTGTCATATATATATATGTTCTTCCTCTACACCCCTCCCCCCCCCCCTCCCCCCCCAATGTTTGCACATGTCGAGGAGCGTGTCAGGCTACATTTCACTGTGTGTTATACTTGTATAACTATGCATGTGACAAATAAAGAACCTTGAACCTTGAAATATGGTGGTGGCAGCATCATGCTCTGGGGGTGCTTCTCTTCAGCAGGGACAGGGAAGCTGGTCAGAGTTGATGGGAAGATGGATGGAACCAAATACAGGGCAATCTTGGAAGAAAACCTCTTGGAGTCTGCAAAAGACTCGAGACTGGGGGGG